AATCCCCCCCTTCCCAGAGCTGAATACAGAGCTAAAAACAACAAAAAACATAAAAAATTAAATAAACATCAAACAATTGTACATAAATCCTAAAAAAATTTTAAACCCCTTTAACTCCATTACAATAAAATCAACAAATCTAAACATAACAACTTTATACAATAAGTTATTCAAAAGCTAAATAATACTTTCTAATCCCATATTTGTTCTGAACAAAATTTACCCATCTTTTCCATACAGAGTTGTATCTCTCTTGTGAATGGTCTTTCAGATAGGCCGATATTTTTGCCATTTCTGATAAATAAGAAACTTTAAGAAACCATTCCTCTAAAGTAGGCAAGGAGTCTTTTCTCCAATATTGCCCAATCAATAACCTTGCTGCCGTAATAAAATTCAACATTAAAATAATCTCTTTACCATCACAATCTTCAATAATTGTGGTGTGAATTTTATCTTTCTATTAAATTTTTTTTGAATATTCCACCAAATCTTGATCCAAAAAGCCTTTATATTTCTACAAGACCACCAAATATAATAATAAGTTGCATCCATACAACCACATCTCCAACATTTGGGCTGTAAATTAGAATACATACGAGACATCTTTTGTGGATCAAGGTGCCATTTATAAAACATTTTATAAAAATTTTCTCGTAAATTTTGAGCTTCGGTAAACTTACCTGTTTTGAACATATTTTTATGGGGTGAGTGTGAAAGAAGGTGAAACTATTGAAATCGTCAGAATAATTCAGATGTTGCAGTTTTGAATATTTGGGCACCATGTTATTGTTCAGAGAATCATTGAATAAATGAGTTGGAGTGGGCTGCAAAGGCCACCACCCCACTCCCTGTTTACTGCAGGAGCCCAAATTCAAGGTCAGCGTTGCAATCTTCATTTTGCTAATGGGGGATCTGAGGCAGAAAGGAAACAACTTGCATGTGTCTATTAGAGAAACGCATTGAATGAAAGTCTGCTTTGTACGTTGTAGTAAGACGTTGGACAGGAACAGCTATTTGAATACAGTAGCTACATTCTCTGTCAGAGAGAGGAAGAGGTGTTTTTATTTATTTAATGAAACAGAAAAAAAAGAAAAAAATACACCAGCAAAAAGAAATAAAAGGCAAAAAAGAACACAACACAACAGCAAAAGTTGTATATGTTAAGACTTCTCATGCGTGACATTGTTACCCAACAGTTCCATCAAAACTGGCTATATTTCATTGTAATTGTACCTACCCAACCTGCACTTGCATTCAAACTGTTTATAAATCACAAGTAACATCAGGCCTTCAAGGCTGAATCATTGGAGCCATAAAATTATCTTTCCAAAGTGGAAGGACTAGCCTCTTAGCACTAAAGACTAATTCAGCTAACTGGGATGGGAAGAGAGGTGTAAGCAAGCTGATAGAAGAACAAATGAATACAATCATTAATTTGTAAGTGCTTAGGTGCAAAATTAGAGAAGAATATTCTTTAGATTGTTTCCCATTATGATTCTGTTAATGCCAATTCCAAAGCAACAATAAAAGTCGGGTAAGCATGCTGTAAATATTTTGAGCAAGGTGAGAATAAGGGAGAACAGTCACCCATCCCACCAAATTTTACTTGCAGTTGAATATTTTACAGGCCTTAACAAGAACATCAGGTAAGTTGATGTGCTCTTTTTCTAGAGCTGTTTTCCCAGTATTGGAAACAGGAATTAAATCAGGAAAGAAGTTTGATTTGAAGCCAAAGAGAGAAAAAGTTAGTTTAATATGGAGTAAATGAAAAATGCTTTGTGGGGAAGAACTCTGCTTATTTTCGATACTAAGGAAGAAAAGGAAAATGAATTTGAACCTTTATAGGAATATTTTCCATTACTTTTATTTTGCTATCATTTTTTTCTGTGAAGAGAAGGAAACTCCATAGAAGAATGCCAGAAAAAAAGGAAGTATCTTAGGCCAGAGGTCCCCAATCTTTTGGGCACTAGGGACCAGTTATGTAGAGAGAGGTTTTTCCATGGACCGGAGGGTGTATGCAGTGGTGGGATTCAAATATGTGAACAACCAGTTCTCTGTGTGGATGCCACTTCTGGAAGTCCATTCTGGGCCTGGGCAACAAAAAATTAGCTACCGGTTCTTCTGAAGTGGTGTGAACTGGCTGAATCCCACCACTGGATGTATGGTTTTGTGTGCTGCCTGCATCCTGCGAATGGGGCTTTGCTGGTTTGTGTGGACCGGTTGACGGCATGCCGCTGCCTGGTACTGGTCCATGGACCGGAGGTTGGGGATCCCCGTCTTAGGCAACCAGACTAGGAAAGTTTGTATCCTGATTGTTAAGAACTTTGCAAGAACATGGTCTTCTAGTGGCCACATATATTGGCAGGTGGGCCACACATTAAGTGTGGGAAGTTGTCATGCACTAGAACAGTGTTTCTCAACCTCAGGTGTGTTGACTTCAATTCCCAGAATTCTCCAGCCAGCATGCTAGCTGGAGAATTCTGGGAGTTGAAGATTACACATCTTAAAAGTTGCAGGGGCTGGGACACACTGCACCTGAATAAGCAAACAGTCTTTATGCATTTTATTTATTCTGTCTCTTTTCTACTAAACTTGAGGAAGGCATATACATAGTCTTGCACATACGATCATAATGCAGCCTGCCCATCAAAGTAATTAGGTGCAATGGTTATAAATTGTGTCATCTACATCACCAATCCATTTTTATCTTTTTTGTAGTAGTCATTAATCTAATGCCACGGACATAAAGTGATCGCCGTGGTTGTTAAGTAAACACCATGGTTGTAAATGAAACAATGGTTCTCTATGGACTGGTTTTGCTGAAAACCGGAAGTAAGTGCTGGTTTTTCAGAAAACTGTCATAAAACATGGTCACGTGACTGGGATTCTGCAAATGGCTGCAAATGTGATCTGGTTGCCAAGTGCCCGATATACAGTAACATGATTGCAGGAGGGGACTACCATTGGAATTTTGAGATTCTTGGAAGGTCCATCATAACTTTGAATGGTTGCTAAGAGACCAGTCATAAATCAAGGACCACTTGTATGTATTTGCAGCATTTGGAGGCATTTGAGAGTGAATGCAAATCACAATTCTCATGGCCAGCCTGATCTTTCCAGGCATATCACATACTCCTGTTTATCTCATTAGGGCAGGGGTCTTCAAATTTGCCAACTTTAAGACTTGTGGACTTCAACTTCCAGAATTCTTCAGCCTGGCTGGCTGAGGAATTTTGGGAGTTGAAGTCCACAAGTCTTAAAATTGCCAAGTTTGAAAACCCCTGCATTAGGGGAACAAGCGGTGGAGCTTGTGTGTAACAACATGTTAACTTGGACTGAAATGAGCAGTTGGGGCTTAGCATTCTGTGAAAAACCAGACATTGTCTTAGTTGATTGTATAAAGCAGGGCATCTTATTCAGCTGCAATATGGTTTTCAGTCTGGGCATATCATGGTAAGTGACATACTTTATTATGATCTGTTAACCCAGGTTTGGGATCTAGTGTGTGATGTGAATTCAGGAAGTAAGGCTGCTACTTCTTGCTGTCCAGGTTTCTCAGTTTTAGGACCATGCTGTAGGTTATATTTACAATGATTGTGCCAACTGTATGTAGGCATTTTTTTGTATTTTAGTAGAGGGGTCCCCAACCCCTGGTCTGTGGACCGGTACTGGGCCGTGGCATGCGAGCAACCGGTCCGCACAAACAAGCAAAGCCCCATCAGTGGGATGCAGACAGCACACAAAACCACCCAGTTTCCGGTCCATGGAAAAACCTTTCTCCACGGAATCGGTCCCTGGTGCCCAAAATGTTGGGGACCTCTTGTTTAGTAGACTGACCTCTATAGGATTTGCTCAGTGATCCTTGACTATTTTAGTTCCATAATATTTTTGTCTGTCTGACCTTTGTGTTACTAAGATAAAATCCTTGTAAACCTGAGTAGCTGCAACAATCCCGGTTGCTATGGAAAGTTTAAAGTGACCTAAAGCCCAGTTTAATGTGAAAGCTTCTGTGCTAGCTCTGGAATGTTAAACAAAGATTTGCTGGGATGGAGTTTGCATGTTTTAGGTACTCATTAAACCATAGTTCAGAAATTCAGTTCTTCTGAGAAAGTCTCTGCTTTCATTTTTCTCTTCCTTCTAAGATAACCTTAGCCAACTTGAAGTTGTCCAGAAGAGTTTGCCTGCAGCTTCTTTCCTCCTTTCCAGCTAGCACTAGATATAATGTGTGGAAGCTCACCACATCTCCAGAATATATCGGGTCCAGAAAAACCATTCTAAAGCGCTGCTTCCAACACAACAAAAAGTTGTCAGAAAACATACCTAGGTGCTTTGGAATACAGAAGAACATGAAACTTTGGACACACGAATAAGGAGAAAAATTCCTTGTGCTTTTAACCACATTTGAACAAATAAAGTATTCTACTCCAGGGGTCCATAACCCCCGGTCTGTGGACCGGTAATGGGTCGTGGCATGCCAGCAACCGGTCTGCACAAACAAGCAAAGCCCCATCTGCGGGATGCAAGCAGCACACAAAACCATGCCCTCTCCAGTCCATGGAAAAATGTCTCTCTAGGTAACCAGTCCTTGGTGCCCAAAAGGTTGGGGACCTCTGTTCTACTCTATTCTATTTTCTTTGTAGCACCGTTGCCTTGTTTTGCCTTGGCTTCACACTTTAATTCTTAGCCACCAGTAGAAACAAACCTTAAATATATTGAGAGTGTGCAATTTCTATACCATGCTACCTTTGACTCGCCTAATCTCCTTTACCTATTGCTAGGGGCTTCTTCCATCTAATCATGGAGTGCAGAAACATTTTTATTGATTATCTTGTAAAAAGATATTACATTTTGATGGTACTGAACAAACTTAATATGCTCAGTGCAATATGATATGAATGTAGAGTATTTCAGCAAATATATTTGTAGTCTTGTAATCACCTTAGATATTATAGTGGCGTTCTGAACAGAGGATCTAGCTTTTTTGAAACTGTATTTTGCAGATTATCCTATCAAAGAAATGATGATGATGAAGAAGAAGCTGCTCGAGAGCGACGCAGGCGGGCCCGTCAAGAAAGACTGAGGCAAAAAGAAGAGGATGACATAGGGCAAGGAATTGAGAAATCTGAAATGAATGCCCAAAATAAGTAAGATTCTGCTATATGAATAGTTTTGGTGGATTTTCATTCTGGATCATGCCTGCTTTGAAAGGGGATTTAATCAGAGAAGAGGAGCTGAACAATTTAGTTGCTCCTATCCTTCAATACATAGTTCTATGTCATCTATTCTCTAAAGTAGTTCTTGGTGCAGTTTTACTCACTTTCCTGGTTAGGAGAGAATACTGTATATCTCTATCTCCATCTCCATTGCCTACCTATCTACCTACATCCTATCTAGTTCTGTCTCTCTAGCTCTATATTCTGTGTGTGTGTGTGTGTGTGTGTGTGTGTGTGTGTGTGTGTGTGTGTGTGTCTGTCTGTCTATCTATCTATCTATCTATCTATCTATCTATCTATCTATCTATCTATCTATCTATCTATCTATGCATTTCTATTATTAAAAGGGCAGTCTGGTTTCCCCATATTCTAGGGAATTGATTCTATGATCACACTTTTCACCAGGTATCCTCCACTCAGCTCCATGTTTAACTGAAGACAGGCAACTTAGAAATAAAAGCCTTAAAAACAAAACAGAACAGAAAGGTAGTTTTGCATCAAGAAGTCATTTTTCATATTCTGCTCTTAGAGATTTGAATGAGTCCCAACATTTGGGGGGGTCCTGATTAGAAGCACAAATGGGTAGAGGTTTTTGGCATTTTCAAATTATAGAGCATTAAAAACAATATGATATAAAACCCTATATGACATCCTGGAGGGTCTTTGACAGTCAAAATAAATAACTTGGATTTGTTTTATGTGAAATTGACAAGTTTGTGTCTTTGTGTATAATGATTAGACTCAACTGTTAGCTGTCTGATTAGGACTGTTTCAAATTCCAATTCATCATGAAATTCACTAGCTCTTAGTCAAACCTATCTATGACGATTAAATGGGGAGGGCAGAAGGCAATTTAAACAATCCCCATTGCACTTCAGGAAATAGCATAAAAAGTAAGAGCAATAAACAAATCAATAAAACTAAAACTCTGCATCTTTTGTAGCATTGCAGAAGGAGAGTCCAAACGTACTACTACAGAGACCACAACTGCTCAAGGTGATGGAGATGATGACGCTGTGTTCCTGGAGAGGATGGCACGGAGAGAGGAAAGACGTCAAAAGCGTCTTCAAGAAGCATTGGAGCGCCAAAAGGAACTTGACCCAACCATTACTGATGAGACCATATCCTTCACAAGCAGAAAAGTGGTGAATAATATGGAGGAAAATGAGACCCCGGGAAAAGAAGAAAAGATAGAAACCCACAGAAGACGCTATGAGGTGGAGGAAACAGAAACCATCACTGAGTCATACCAGAGGAACAACTTGGAGCAGGATGAGGAAGATGAGAAGAAAGATGAGAAAGACAAAGAAGAGGTGGAAGACCAGAAACCAAAGCCACAAGCCCTAGAGGAGAATCAGGTAGAATTAACAGTAGAGAAGGAGAATGTAGACAATGAGGAGGAATCTGCAGTCTTGGAGGGAAAACATTTTGAGGTAAATGTGGAAGAGAACAGATTAGACAATGATACCCATGTCCTTGCCAGTTCAAAGGAGGTTCTCAGCGTGACAGTAGTCATAAATGAAAATAAGGAGGAAGACAATGAGGCAGAAATGAACCAGAAACAAATTGAGGAGAGAGAAAGGCTTGAGAGGGAAGAAAAGAAAAGAGCTCAGTATGAGGAACAGAGGAAAGCAGAGGAAGAAAAAGAGAGATTGGAAATGGAGAAAAGAGAAGCTGAGGAGAAAGCAAAGAGGGAAGCTGAGGAAAAAGCAAAAAGGGAAGCTGAGGAAAAAGCAAAAAGGGAAGCTGAGGAAAAAGCAAAAAGGGAAGCTGAGGAAAAAGCAAAAAGGGAAGCTGAGGAGAAAGCAAGGCTTGAGGCAGAAGAGCAGGAGAGAGTGAAGGCAGAAGAACAACGGAAGGCTGAGGAGGAGAGAAAGAGGATGGAGAAGGCAGAGGCAGAGAAGAAAAAAGCTGCCCAGGAGAAAGAAAGACGCGAGGCTGAGGAGAAGGAGAAGAGGAAGGCGGCTGAAGAGAAAAAAGCAGCCGATGAACGAGAGAGGGTTAAGGAAAAAGAAAAAAGGGAGGCAGAGAGGGCCAAAGCTGAGGCTAAGAGGGTAGCTGAGGAAAAAACTAAGCTAGAAGAGGAGAGGTTAAAGGCCAAGCAAAAAGCTGAGGAGAAAAAGGTAGACCAGCTGAAAGGCAAGAAAGGGGACGAGAAGAAAATAGAAGAGAAGCAGGTAAAAGAGAAGAAACTCCAAGAGGAAAAAATCACAGCAGCTTCCGTCAGGAAACAGGTAGAGTAAACATTTTGCACCCAACCACCGTTTTGCCTGTGTTTTGTAGAAAATGTAATGCATTTCACCAGAAAAAAAGAGAGAGAGAAACTGAAATTTGTTCAGTTATCTCTTTCCACTTTGGGCTACTAACTCTTGCCAATGTTTTACTCCTTTTTGGATTTAAGCTTCTAGCTTCACTTCTCCGTAGCATGATCAGTGCATGAAAATTGGTTAAGCTGCTCTCTTCTTGGCTCTTAAATCTTCTGGAAATCTATGCATGCTCAATTCTTCACAGCTTCTTTGTCTTCCCTTTCTGTGGCTGATGGTTGGACAGGGAAGGTAGCCAGAGGCATACACCAGGTCCAGAGGCACAGCATGAGCCACGGATGAGCACCCGGGAAACCTTGGTGGTAGAAGTGTTGAATAACCACCCACAAGTATTAGAAGCAAGCACAGCCAGGATCCTGCTGAGCTATGTGAGAACACAAGCACACCAGAGGAGAGGGCGCAATGTGCAAAGGAAAGTCACTGTGCCACCCAAGGGCAGATGCGAGGTTGTATGAGCACAGCTTTGTAAAGCTACAGTAGTAGCAGCTGTTAATAGGGCTTGCGATGGGATTGATGTTTTCCTCTTGAAAAATATTGCAAAAGGGGGAAGAAAATAAAGTGGAAGCTAAAAAGGAAAAGCTACAGGACAAGAAGCTTCAGCCAGCCTTCAGGAAAGAGGAGGTAACTATCACTTGCGGGTAGGACGGGGCCTATGGGAAGCAGACTCAAGCCCCACATTGCCTGTGTTCATCATGAGCTCCCACAGCAAAGGTCAAAGATCATTGATACAATTTCAAGCTTAGGAGCAACCTGACTTAAGTTCACGTTTTCTCCAGCAGCCATCTTGAAGGCTGTCTCAAGATGTTAGCCAAAAGCAGACAAGAGCTTTTCAAAACTGGCTATATGGTGAAGCATGTTTCAGCTTATTTCAGTTGGTTTTATATTGTACTGTGAGCTGAATATTTAACTTGCTTCTTTGGTGTAGGATGAACATCAGAGAAGTATTTTAAGTTTACCTGGGCTTAGATCACATCTGGAAACACAACCTGGGTCATAGAAATTGGGCCTAGATTTGTGTGGAATTCCTGAGTGCCCTCCAGTTAAGCCTTCTTGCCTTAATTTCTCCCTTCATTTCGTGACTTTTCTTGATGGAATTAGTGGTTTCGATTATAGATGCCTCAAGATATCTTTAGTTCTGTAATCTGAATTTAACCCAATGATTTTTCTATTTCTTAATATCAATTATGCGCTCTCCAAAATCTCCTTTCCTCTTTTGATTCTCCCCTCCCTTTGTTTACAAAAAGTGGTGCATTGCATTTCTACTGAAACTCAGAAGCTGGTGCCATGGTGTTTTACTGTACGGTGAGTAAAATTACTGGTATCAAGCCATCATTTTTAATCATCTTCAAGTAGGATATTGCAAATACCAAAATGTACTCTTAGGTTAGCCACTTTTGAATGTTTGGATACTGGTATTTTTATCAAGCTGTTTTATCACCTATCTTACTTGCCATCCGTGAAACAACATCACTTTAAATCAGTCTATTAGGGGAATTATAATAATTTTGAAAGGATCATTTGTTTAATGTCTGCATTTATAAAATGCCTGTAGGAGAAATTTTATACCATTATGCAACTCAAACACAAAGCTGTAATACAGTGCAGAGTGGAAAAGTCACATCCAACATAGTACTGTAGAAAAACAGGTACAAGCCAATATGGCAAAAAAATAAAAACAAACAAACCTCAACAAAGCAAAATGAGAAGCAATAAGAATGGGCTAAAACCAGTAAAGAAATAAAATAGGAGATAAAACTATTAAAACATAACGAAGATTAAAAGACACCAAAATCCTGGGACAAATTTTAATCTGGTGAAGAAAGAAAAGAAAATTGGCATTAAGCAATTTTCTTGGGAAAAGCATTTTATTGGCATTACCAAGAATGTTTTCTCTGTAGTGATCTAACTCCAACAGATGAAGAGTTTTGAACTATAATAGTAGATGTATTTTCCCATCCCTCCCTTTTATGCCAAAGGAGTCAATGCAGGGTAACATGTAAAGCTTCAAAAACCAACAAGGAAATGTAGGGTTACTTCTAAGCAGATTCTTTTATTGTTCCTGACCTATAGACAGAAATCTTGCTAAACTAAAGCAACTACTTGCATCGTTAAACATATACTCTGAAACTTTTAGGGAGGAGCTATCTTGATGCTCTTTTTCCCAATCAAACAATCTAAACTTTGCTGTCTCTTGGTCCTTTGGAATCTAGACTACATTCCAGGATACAATGATATTTCTTTCTCATGCTTTTTTGTTTTCTTGGATTGGGCTCACATTTTGCTGCACATTTTCCTCAAAGCCACCTCTGTGTTCTTCTACAGATAGACTCAAGGCTTCCATTTTGATATGGAGGTTTAAAAGAGAAGTCATGTACTCCTGCAATCACGAAGAACTAGAAAGATACCTCCTAATATGTGAGGATTGGAGTTTCCAGATTTAGAAGCTCCATTGGAGAAGGCTGAAATAAACTGCTCTCTCTGATATGGGATTCCACTGATAATAGCCCTAGATAGACTTTATGGATAATACTTTTTAGATATGCAACATGCCTTGGGCACCTGAGGGCAGGACAAGAAGCAACGGATGGAAATTAATCAAGGAGAGAAGCAACCTAGAACTAAGAAGACGTTTCCTGACAATTAGAACAATTAATCAGTAGAAGTTTTAAAGAAGAGACTGGACAGCCATTTGTCTGAAATGGTATAGGGTTTCCTGCCTGAGCAGGGGGTTGGACTAGAAGACCTCCAAGGTCCCTTCCAGCTCTGTTCTTCTATTCTATTCTATTCCATTCTATTCTATTCCATTCCATTCCATTCCATTCCATTCCTTACTCTCTGGTTCACTAATTGACAGTGGACTTCCAGGAGCTCAGGCAGATATCATTCTTAGTAATGGTGAAACTTGCTTAATGGGAGACTCTTGGAATACCTCATTGATAGAGAAGATGTTTTCCACACAGAAACTTCCAAATTTCCATCCTTGATACTTCTAGTTGAAAAAAGAGAGGTGGGGAGGGGGGGTAGGGAAGGTAACAGCCCAATGCAGAAGACTTCTGTAGCATATCTAGTGGGCTGTTCTCAATCAGCAATGTAGACAGCCCTTGATTGGCCAGAGCAATAGTTTCATGAGTAGGAAGCCTTCTTCAGCATCACACGAAGTGAAGCCCTTCAGCTTGCACACAGTTTACTCCATTCCTCAGCTGCACCTTTCCCTAACTTACACAGGGAAAGCAACATTTTTGGTCTCATAACATTCCTTTTGAAAAGGGACTTGCGGTATATTCTGATCGATACCAAGGTTTAAACAACAATGTCTCCTCCCCATCAGCAGCCAGCAAGATCTTAGCTGTCAGTCAGTCATCCTGGAAAAACTGAAAATGGCTAGAGGAAGAGGAAATGAAATTTCATGTGAAACTGCCTTTCCCTGATCTGTTTTGAGTTTGTTTTACATCCGAGAATTTTGTTCTATTTTCTGGACTGCCTTAAGACCTTGGGTGTGCAGAGCTGGACTGCAAAGCCTGCCCCGAAGCAAGCTTTCTCATGACATGATAGTTGTGGTATTTCCTGCTTCCAGTTTGGCTAGACATACTACATGAACAGCATTTTTTCTCTTTTCTTTCTTGATTGCAGAGTTCCCTCCCCCCCCCTTTTCATGCCCTTCTGTTTATAAGAAGATAAGCAGTTAGCCTAATCATTCTGCTCAGATGCTCACAACCTGAGCTAAAATTGAAATTCAGACCCTGGATTTGGAATGTCCAAGAAAGCATTAAATATTTAAAATAACATTTTGGGGGGTGATAAATAAAGCTGGTAGTCAATTGTTTATTAACTCCCTGCATTTTAGTCAGTCAACACTGCATTAATCAAGCACATTTAAATGATCCTGCAGGTTAATGGAAACATCTAAAGCATCTTTCATTTCTTAAGGAAGTATGTTATTAAAATGTGCCTGTTAAAGACAAAAATTAATACCAATATTACAATGGAAAGAAGATCCTCATCCTCTCTCCCATTCAGGTTGCTGCCATAATTTCCCCCAGGAATCTGGAACAAAACCAGGACTTTCTACTTGGCAGATCTAGGCTTGTTTCAGAAATACCATATCTAGTACGGTGGGGAATAGATTTTAAATTTCTCCCAGTCCTTTCTCTACTTAAAAGAGATCTGAAAGGCGGAAAAGACAGACTGACAAAACCACTCTCATCCTACAAGAAGTAATTTCATTTCATTCATGCAAATATCACTTTTCTAAAGTACTTTTTTGCCCTTGTGGAAAAGATACTATGTTCTTTTTTTTTTTCTTTTTTTTTTTTGAAGGATTAGTTCCAGGGTTGTGGATGCCTTTAGCTCAGGTTTCCTATGCTGGAATGGTGTATAGCAGGGGTCTTCAAACTTGGCCCTTTTATGACTTGTGGACTTCAACTCCCAGAATTCCTCGGCCAGGTACGCTGGCTGAGGAATTCTGGGAGTTGAAGTCCACAAGTCATAAAAGGGCCAAGTTTGAAAACCCCTGATGTATAGATATGGCCTTGGGAGACAGGGCAATAAGACTAGCCAAGGGAATGGTCAGATAAAAGGCAACTGAGTCCACAGCAGGAATGTGAATGTGACCAGAGGCTCAGAGACTCAGACCCTCCCTAATATATTGAGATGTAAAGGAGACAGAAGGAGAAATGTAATATCAGATTTGCAAGATTTATAATAAAGTGGATTTAGCTCATCTGGTCATGTTTCCTGTCTGGTCTACCTGGAAAGTAGTATGTTTGCTTTTCTGCCTTGCACTGTATTAGGAAAAAGAAAAAGGAAAGAAATAGCGCCCCCTAGAGCAGCTGTCACACTGGTGTGTTCTAGAGATGTTACATGTTTGAGTCATCCTGGTGGGCAATATAGAAGTTAGTGGTACCAAACTGAGCCTGCTCTAGACTTTAAAAAAAAGTCTGATGAACTGCAGAAATGTTTTTTTTTTTCCAAAAACAGCAATGCTGAAAGCAGGATAAGCCACTGAACTGAATTCAGATTTCCTGAGCCTTCTGTTAGAAGTAAAGTCTTCATCCTGGTTCATCCAAGCCGGGAATAAATAAGCAAACATGGCGACTGCTTTGGGAAGAAAGTTACAGTTTATTGCTGAAAGATGGTTCTTCAGGAAAGAGCAGAGGAGAGAAGGGCTGAGCGCATGTGCTTGGGTTTTTTTTTATACCCCCTCTAGCCTTTTATTTGGAATAGTTCCTGTGGCATGAACTTTGAGGCTATTTCCTGTGTCACGTATTCTGACCTGAGTTTAGGTGTGCCTCTATGGTATACTTGATGGTAATGGGTTAGTCCTATTACATCCCAGAAGTCATCTCCTGCTTCCCTGGGGCTGGGCTAATGACTCTTAAGAGTTTCTTTGTCTTGAATTCCCTGGCTCCAACCTTCCTGATGGATTTACATTTGCATTTGTATGAGGCTAGCTCTTGCTTGGGACAAAGAAATTTGGGGCCAGGTTTGGCTTCTGCTTTTCAAAAAATCCTTTTGGTGAAAAATATATTTTCCTAACTTCCCTCACTTCCTTCTGAAATCAATGAGATTTGTCTCATTAAATTAATTTAGATTGATATCAGTGAGCCTCCTCGCCATCTGGATCAGGATAAATTTAGTCAGGGAAGAGCATTTGCACAGTTGTTTGTTGCTATTTCCGATTTGCGTTGGCCACTGCCTTAGCCAATGTCCTTCATGAGATTAATCTCTCCTGCAGACCAGAACGAGTTTTCTGGAACGCTGCACTCTGCACACAACTCCAGTTAGCATCAAGGCATGTCTCGGCATGCTTGATAGTCAGATGGTCAAGAGCAGCTCCAAAAGACACTAATCTGACAATGTTTCTGGGTAGGGGAGAAATGGGAAGCCAAGACAAGCCATGCATAAAACATGCTTACATCTCCAGATCCAAACTGGGAGGACAATTCTCTACTTGGCTTATCTTTGAGATTAATTACATCACGTCTACTTAAATGTTTCCACAAACATTGTAATGCATCTTTTGGCTGCTCTTAGCAGCACTATTTACAAATCCCAGTAATAATATTCCAAATGAATTGATTGCTAGTTCATAGGCAAGGGGACTTTGTGACTTAGTTGGATGGGAACGTGTCCTGTGTGAACATCCAACCCAGAGATGCCAGAACCAGATGTTACACAGACTGTAGGACATCTAGTTAGGGGTGAGACAAAGTGCTTCTTCCAGCTTCTCTGTTCTTTTCGATTGTAAGGAAAAGACACATTTCAGTGACTTGGGTGAATATGTATAAGAGGCAAAGCTGGTGATAAAAATTTTCTCCCCTATCCAAAAATCTGGACATAAATTTGTAGATAATTTAATGCTTTTGATGATTGATTACCTGGCCCAGATATTATGTGGTTCCTTGGCGTCCTCACTGTATAGATGAGCCACAGTTGAATGAGGGGCCATAACAATGGAAGCAAGTATTATTTTACGCTTGTGTGTAAAATCTTTCCCAACTCAGAGCATTCCTACAGAGCAAAGCTGAATCTACAAGCTGTTTTTAGGACCTTACATTTGCAGTAGATTAATAGTACTTTATCTTTCCATTCACAGTGGAGATGGATACCTCTGACGACTCCTTCAGAGTCCTGGATGTAACTCATTCTTTTTGTTTTACAACCATGTCTTCTTATTAGATCAAAGATAACAAACTGAACAGAGACAAAATGCCCAAACAAGAGGCAAAATCCATCTGGGATCGCAAGAAGGGAATGCCGGAGTCCAAGCCACAAAATGGAGAATGCTTCCAAGAACTCCCTGCTCACAAGCTGAAGCACACAGAGCATACTTTTGGGTAAGATATACACTCTTGGGCAAGAACGTTTACACTCGGACCCAATTGTTGCCTTTTATGGGTCTTATTGCAACAGGCTAGACTGCTATACAAAGGCTAAGGACGACTTTTTTGCATCACCTTGAAAAAGTATCTTGCTTTAACTTGACAGGGAACATAAATCAGCCTTCCTTAGTCTTGTAAATGGCCGTTGCTTAATCTTGCAAGTATTATTATTCAGTTGATATTCATATCCAGTTAGCTTTAAACTGGGAAATTCGTTTTCTCTCTCTCTCTCTCTCTCTCTCTCTCTCTCTCTCTCTCTCTCTCTCTCTCTCTCTCTCTCATCAACATGCACTATATCAGCATGGTTGATCACAATCCATAACTTCAATGAGGTCTTAATTCTGCAGTAGAATCATAGAAATGTAGGGCTAGAAGGGACCTTGAAGATCTTCTAGTCCAGCATGGCTGGCTCAGGAATTCTGGGAGTTGAAGTCCACGAGTCATAAAAGAGCCAAGGTTGCCTACCCTTGTTCTAGTTTAACTCCCTGATCAAAGGCAGGAGTCCTTATACCATCCTGGACAAATAGTTGCAGATGGATTTCAAGTGATGGTGATAATAATACAAAAAAGAAAGAAAATCAGAAATACAAAATAACAAAAACCTTATTGGCATAAATTAATTTTTTTCAGCCTAATTTTTAAACAGATCATGAAACCTTGGACACACAAATAATATAGTATTTCGATTATCCAATAGAATGTCATCCAAAAGGGTTAATCTGAGATAGCTCTACATTTTCAATACTGAACAATAGTTTTCTTGCTTCCCCATGCTTGATAAGTCACTTCTAAGTTCTACTTTTTTGAATATAATTCAAAAGTACACCATCGTCTTTTAAAATATAGTGTAATACCCTAGTAAAGAGGTTTATGGATATCAAACCAAAATGGGGAAATAATATTCCTTTATCCATTTTTCCTTCCAGCATAATAAAATTAATAGCTAGCCATTTTTAAATGTTCTCTGAGATAGAATATGGAAAATAACATTTGTTGAAAATCCTGGGATTTTCTGGTGCTCTCTTATCCTGATACAGTAGTCCTCAATTTATAATAGTAATTGAGCCTGAAATTATGGTCATTAAGCGGCCAATTTTTATAACCTTTTTTTGCAGTGGTCATAAAGTAAGTGCCACAGTCATTGAGCAAACACTGGTCGTTAAGTGAATCCGTTGTATCTAGTGGGCATTTTTTTTTTGCCAGAAACTGGAAGTAAATCCCAGTTTCTGACAAAAAAAGTGTCATAAATTGTAGTCATATGACAGTGGGACACTGCAAATGGCTATAAATGTGGGCCAGTTTCCAAGCGCACCAAATACAGTCATGTTATTTGTGGGGCAGCCCTCAGAACTTCGAAACTGGGTCATAAGTAGTTCTGGAGAGGTCTAATACAGCTTTGAATGGTCAAGAGGGAGTCAAGCTATTTTCCAAAGTGCCTGAAGGCAGGACAAGAAGCAACGGATGGAAACTAACCAAAGAGAGAAGCAACCTAAAACTAAGGAGAAATTTTCTGACAGTTAGAACAATTAACCAGTGGAACAACCTGCCTCCAGAAACTGAGAATACTCCAACACTGGAAGTTTTTAAGAAGAGACTGGACAGCCATTTGTATGAAATGGTATAGGGTTTCCTGCCTGAGCAGGGGGTTGGATTAGATGACTTCCAAGGTCCCTTCCAACATCATTATTATTATTATTATTATTATTATTATTATTATTATTATTATTATTACTACTACTACTACTACTACTACTACTACTACTACTAAGTCATGGATTACCTGTACTTACTTCTTACCTTCATTTATACAAGTCTATTGATTGATGCAAATGGCTCCCATCTCAGTGTTCCTTACCAAAGTCATCATTCCCCTTTATCTCGTGGTTCGATTACACAACTGCTTTGCTTTAACCCCTCATTCCTTTCTCCTGAGGCAGAGGCCCAAAAGAGGGTCGTCCAGGTGTAACACAAGTTTTGCATCCTGGTGTTGCACCTGCATACCAAAGGGAAGAAATTTGCCTTGAAAATGTGTGTTGCTGCTTTTTTATTATTATTATTCTGGGGACAACCTTACTCAAAATTATCCTCTATTTTTTAAATATATTTTACTTATTACCTTTCTAACCCATCGGAATCAACGGCTCCCAGTAAAGGCAGTTGTTAAATGAATTTAGCTCCATTTTACCACTTTTCTCCCCCCACAGTTAAATGAATCGCTGCAGTTGTTAAGTGAAATCATGTGGCCGTTAAGCGAATCTTTCTTCCCTCGTTTTGACTTTGCTAGTTGAAAGCCGGCTGGGAAGGTTACAAATGGCGATCAGATCACCCTGGGGAAATGCAACTGTCATAAATAGAGGCCAAGTGCCTGAATTTTGATCACGTGACCATGGGAATGCTACAATAGTCATAAGGGTGAAAAACAGTCAGACATTTTTTGGTGCTGTTGTAACTTCAGATAGCAATAGCAATAGCACTTAGCCTTATATACCGTCTCATAGTGCTTTACAGCCCTCTCTAAGCAGTTTACAGAGCCAGCATATTGTCCCCAACAATCTGGGTCCTCATTTTACCAACCTCAGGAGGATGGAAGGCTGAGTCAACCTTGAGTCGGTCAGGATTGAACTATTGAACTGCTGGCAGTTGGCAGTCAGCAGAAGTAGCCTGCAGTACTGCATTCTAAACACTGCGCCACCAGGCTTTGGTCACTAAATGAATGGTTGTAAGTTGAAGATTATCTGTATTTCAAAAAGCAGTCGTTATAAAGAGGATTTGGATTTTGATGTTTTAAAACGGAGGGAGTCCTTGAAACCAAGGTTTGCCTTAGGAAGAGATACCATCCACAGCTGTACCCAATCTCTAGTGGGGATTACAATTCTTTCTTCAGGGTGGGCCCTAATCGGTGAGTGACGGGTGGCTTCTTCGTAAAACGTTTCTCTTCCTTTCTCAGCCGACCGGGGCTCAAAACCACGCCGGGATCCGAAGACGCCAAGCCCCAGGTGGAAGCCGGCAAGAGAGTCGAGGAGTTGCGCCGCCGGCGGGGTGAAAATGAGAGTGAAGAATTTGAGAAGCTGAAGCAGAAGCAACAAGAGGCGGCGGTGGAACTGGAGGAGCTGAAGAAGAAGCGTGAAGAACGGAGGAAGATTCTGGAAGACGAAGAACAGAGAAGGAAGAAAGACGAGGCCGAGAGGAAAGCTCGGGAAGAGGTAACAAAGCTAGTGCGTTCAGAAAGGGAGCAAGGATGCTAACTTAGAGTAGGCGTGTCCCTGGGTTTCAGATTTAACTGGCTTTGCACAGGGCACTTAATTAGATAAGTTAAAGACTCAAGTGATTTGGCCTAGCGGTTAAGTAATCAGGCTAACAACCAGGAGATGGTGAGTTCTAATCCCGTCTTAGGCATGAAACCCAGTTGGGTAAATTCTGGGCCAATCACCAAAAGATTGCAAATTCTAGTCTTGCCTTAGGTGTGAAAGCCAGCTGGATGATTTGGGGCCAATCACCAGGAGATTGTGAGTTCTAGCCCTGCCTTAGTCATGAAAGCCGGCTAGGTGGCTTTGGGCCACTCACCAGGAGACTATAAATTCTAGTCTTGTCTTAGTCATGGAAGCCGATGGAGTGATTTTGAGCCAGTCCCTCTGTCTCAGCCCAATCCACCTCACAGGTTTGTTCTTGTAGCGAAAATAGCAAGAGGAAAGATATTAGGTAAGTTTGCCACCTTGAGCTATTTATAAAAAATAATAAAGGCGGGGTATAAATAAATAAAATAAATTCACACAACCTGGTAAGCTTGGCTGGTGTTGATTTTTGAATGTGTGTCTTAGCATTTTTGGGTAAATCTAACCTTCTAGTTAACCTGTAATTCACTATACTGTATGAAGAAAGAAAATAGGTTAGTTCAGTGATGAATAATCATGTTGCAGCCATTGGGTTTAGCCAAAAGTGATAGAGCAGTTTAATTCTGACTTAGGGTGATATATGAATCTGCTACTCTCTTTGTAGGCTTACACCTTAACATTTGGTGTGTTTCAACTCAGGCGGTGGTTCATTCAGTTTTAGCTTAGCAGAGTGAATGCACGAAGATCCAAGAAGCGATTCTGTGTGATTTGTTTGAATTAATATACTACATGGATGCTTCCATTGTGGATTATAAACCATGTGTCCAGTCATTTACTCTATCTTTCTTGTTCTGCAATATTTTGGAAATATCCATTTTTATTCCCAGAGTCTAAGAATACTCCATCTTTCTTGTTCTGCAATATTTTGGAAATACCCATTTTTATCCCCAGAGTCTGAGAATTCCAACACTGTAGTTTTGAGTTTAGAATCATAAATGAACCAGGGCACTGATTTATTTAACATACCATATTTGAAACATATTATGGCTTAGCACAATGGGCATTTAATTGCTCCCTGTTCCATCTTTTTGTATGATCTCTAGCAGTCGTGCCCATCCTGGAACCACTCAGATGTGTTGCTAATTAAATGAACATACAGATTAGTTATCTGTGAATTGTATCCAAAAACTGGACACATTTTGAACAATATTTAAGAGCAACTGTCCATATCCATATTTGCATAGAAACTGACACAGACAGCGGTCAGCCATTGAATGTAAAATGTTTACACTCTTTGATGGTAGGTTTAGATGTCTCAAGTTTTACGTACATTTTTGCGTAATGGTGGCTAGTAGTGAAAGGTGTTTGTGCAATCTGAAAATTTCATCACAATGACAAAATCAATTTTTGTGATGAACTAATGCATGCTCTGCCCTGTAGGATATGTGTCTGATGCCACAATACATATACAAAGTGCTAAATCTTGCATCACAACCGTTCTTTCATCATTTTCTCCTACTTGTTGATACCCAACACCAGCTGGACTTGTTCCTTATTGCCACTTTCGAATCTTAAGGATTAGTTAAAATTGCTATATAGGCAATTAAATGGTTCCCTCTTATGGTTTTTTTTTTTTTTTTTTTTTTTTTTTGGGCAGGAGGAGAAAAGGCGGCTGAAGGAAGAAATTGAGAGAAGAAGGGCAGAAGCCGCTGAGAAACGCCAGAAGATGCCAGATGAAGCCCAGGGTGAGGAGAAGAAGCCTTTCAAATGTTTCACTCCAAAAGGTTCTGCTCTCAAGGTAAGACTCCTTCCAGCTGCTGATGCCACGCCATTTGGATCAAGTATCTGTGAAAGACATTCCAGTTGTCATCATAATGGCTGTACAAAAATCAACCCTGTGCATTGTATGTGCTGATATAACAACACCTAGAAGCATCGTTATATAATGCAGCTGCATCTTCTGAATCCATTGCTCCTCTTATTCTGTGCAAAGCTCTTAGACCAGTGGTGGCGAACCTATGGCACAGGTGCCAGAGGCGGCACTTGGAGCCCTCTCTGTGGGCACACGTGCCATTGCCCCAGCCTTGCCTCCCCCCGTGACCCCCTCCTCTCCAGCAGCCCCCCTGAAGGAGACTCGCCCTCGAGCGTGGCCTACACGGAGCAGCGCAGCTAAGGACATGGCAGCCAGGCAGCATAGACAAAACTCTGCCCTCACACCCCATCATGCAGTTGATGCTGCAGGGTGCAGGCAGAGGGTGTGGCTGCCATAGCGCTGCTGGGCTGCCTGGGTGATCTGCGGCGGGCCCTGGAGGCGGTGAATGGTCCTGTGGGCAGCCAGGGTGGGGGATGGGGGGCAGAGTGGGGAGTGGGGGCGGGCCCAGTTTTTGGGCACTCGGTCTCTAAAAGCACTTTGTATATGTATTGTGGCATCAGACACATATCCTACAGGGCAGAGCATGCATTAGTTCATCACAAAAATTGATTTTGTCATTGTGATGAAATTTTCAGATTGCACAAACACCATCAATGTCTTAGACTTTTGTGTGTTAGGGCTTCTTTAGTCACAACAATCGTATGTCAAAACAAAGCTTGAGAGAGAGGGAGGTACCAATATTCACCATCCCTGTGGAAAAAAGGTTTTGCATGCTGAATGAATTGGGCAGACTTCAAAAACCCAAACAACTTTCTGGAAATTGAATTAAGGTAGAGAGGGAACAATGACGGTCTCATCCATGCAAGGGCTGAGTTCCGTTAGAATGTATATTTCTTCTTTTTAGTGGGAACAATCACTGAAAAGACAAAAGGTGACCTCGTTATTTTGACTAGAGTGGTACCTTGGTACTTCTCGTTAGTTGATTCCAGGAGGCACAAGTATCAAAAATGATGAGTATCAAACCATTTTTTCCCATAAGGATTATAAATTTAATGTGTTCCCAAATCAAAGACAATGCACATTTTAAAGGCAATATGTAAAAAGATGGGGTTGTATATCAATACTTCACATGAGAAATAAACCTAAAATGAATACATCACTTAAATATGAGCCAGCAGTGTGCTGCAGCTGCCAAAAAAGCCAACATAGTGCTAGGCTGCGTTAACAGAGGGATAGAATCAAGATCATGTGAAGTGTTAATATCACTTTACAATATCTTGGTAAGGCCACGCTCAGAATACTGCATCCATTTTTGGTCACTATAATGTAAAGAAGATGTTGAGACTCTAGAAAGAGTACAGAGAAGAGCAACAAAGATGATCAGGGGACTGGAGGCTAAAACACATAAAAAAATGCTTACTGGAATTGGGAATGTCTAGTCTAATGAAGAGAAGGACGAGGGGGGGACATGATAGCAGTGTTCCAGTATCTCAGGGGTTGCCACAAAGAAGAGGGAGTCAAACTATTCTCCAAAGCACCTGAAGGCAGGACAAGAAGCAACGGATGGAAACTAATCGAGAGAAGCAACCTAGAACTAAGGAGAAACTTCCTGACACTTAGAATAATTAATCAGTGGAATGACTTGCCTCCAGAAATTGTGAATACTGCAACACTGGAGATTTTTAAGAAGAAACTGGACAGCCATTTGTCCGAAATGGTATAGGGCAGGGGTAGGCAACCTTGGCTCTTTTATGACTCGTGGACTTCAATTCCCAGAATTCCTGAGCCAGCCATGCTGAGGGAAAAGGGAGAGGTTTCCAAGCTGAGCCATGCTGGCTCAGGAATTCTGGGAGCTGAAGTCCATGAGTCATAAAAGAGCCAAGGTTGCCTACCCCTGGTATAAGGTCTTCTGCTTGAGGAGGGGGTTGGACTAGAAGACCTCCAAGGTCCCTTTCAGCTCTTCTATTCTATTCTACTCTATTCTATTCCATTCCATTTATATTCTCTTATTCTATTCTATTCTATTCTATTCTATTCTATTCTATTCTATTCTATTCTATTCTATTCTATTCTATTCTATTCTATTCTATTCTATATTCTATTCTTTATATTCTCTAATTCTATTCTATTTTATTCTGTTTCTATTCTATTCTATTCATTATTCTCTTCTCTATTCTGCATTCTATTTTCTATTCTATTTTATTCATTATTCTGTTCTGTTCTTTTCCGTTCCGTTCCATTCATTATTCCCTTCCCTTCTATTCTATTCTATTCTATTCTATTCTATTCTATTCTATTCTATTCTATTCTATTCTATTCTATTCTATTCATTGATGTTAGTGTAACTCTTGTCCCGTGACGAGTTGTGGCGTAGCGAGGTGGCTGTAGTGAGTTGTCTTAGACCACCTGGTGACCTTTGAAGAAGAGGGGATAACTGCACAACTATTTTTGGATTTTCTTAAAATGGATTAGAATTGGATTGCTACAACATTCTCTGCCTTGGCTGGGTTCTTTCATGATGTACCTTTTTGTGAATCTAGGCAAATGTAGCTTATTACATAAACCATGGCTTAGTGTGAGCATGAAACTATATGTTGATGGACTTTTACCATTTATTTTATCTCATAGGATTTCACCTTATTGTTTTTATGAATAGAATAACATCAAATTTCGAAAACAGAAGTTAAAAAAAAAAGACTGGAGTTCAACTTCCTAATTTAAGGCAAAGCGCAAGAGCATTTTCTTAATGCTATGCTTTCCATCTTATTTTACAGATATATTTTGTAATTCTGTTTACCGTATGTTTCTTACCAATTTTCAGTTGTGGGCATGTTGTTGGCTTGCTGTTGTGGTGACTTTTGTTTCCTAAGAGTGTGTATAGTGTTGATCAGTCACTGGCCTCTTTGTTCTACTGAATCCTGTTAGCAGATGAGTCTCACCACACCAAACAGAAAAGAAACAACGATTATAATATTATATTATGTGATAGCATATTTATACTGCTCTTTGAATAAAAAAAAACAAGCCAGCCAATAGCATTAAAACTGCCAGCAAAAGGAGATACAAGCCTGATAAATATGAATGTTTTGTGCAACTAGCTCTGTCCCTAGTATAGAAATGAGAATTCTTTCCAAGAAGAACATTACAAAAGATGCTATAGTCGAAAACACCTTTTTGTATATCACTACTTTCATGGATAAAAGCTGGGTTTTAAAAAGAATTGTAAAAGTTAGGATGCAAATTTAATTGAAACAAACTTTCCTTTAGTCAGATACTTAACCATATGCTTGCCTAAAGCAGTTTTCTAATTCTGAACAAACCTGCAGTGTAACAAGCACACTTTAGTTTTACACATACATTTTAGAGCTAATACTGAAACAGTTTTAAAGCATTGTGAAAGCATTCAAGGTTTGAGAAATCATATGGATTGCTGAGTTTTGGACATGCCAAACAAGGAAGTTTATATTTGCTTTAACTAAAACTGAATCACTCAATCTTTTCTACCAGGAGTTGCAAAATCCGTACCTGGTGTCCTGACATTTCTGAAGCAACATCTATTGTTGGTTTGGGAAAAGTGTGGATTTTGAAATGAAAATGCAAGTCATGAAAAAGGAGCAGAACATCTGGGACCTACTTCAGATGCAATGAACGTTGTCATCTAATTATTCACCCCTTCCCTCTATATAAAAAGCCACACAGATTATCCACAGATAGTAATTCATTAATCCCCTTGTAGCATTTTCTTGTATGTGCTTGCAGGTTAAAGCAAAAATAAGAGCAACAAGAACTTGCTACAACTGGTGGCTTGCAAGTGTTATCAGTGTGGGAAATTTGTAATTTTTAAACAACTCTTAAGAGAGTTGAGATGATGGAAAAACAAACTTTACTTCTGTTCTGCTGCCCTCTGGTGGCTCTGAAAAGCAGCACAACATCATGGTATGGTAATCCTCCTTGGACAATGAATGTAGAGATTCAAGAATTCTTTAATCTTAACATTCCAGTTTGTGACAATTAAGATTTCTCAATTCGTTATGCAATCCATTTTGTTTATGAAATCTTTCACTTCTTTCCTCTGTATTTTAGAATGGGTTCCTCCTGTCTTGTTTTACACAATTCCCCATCACATCTCAAATATAACCCCATGGTTCAACATTGATTTTTAATTAGGGTAGTAAGGTGGAGTAGTTGATAAATTTGGGATTGTATTATAGATAGAACTGTGCAGTGAGAAGATTAGACAAGAAGCTAGGTGGTTAGTTTTTTTTTTTTTTTTAAATAATACTTGGGATTGTGACATTTTTAGAACTGATGGTCAAATTATTTCCTCAAGTTATCTCAGGTAGTTTGATGTTTTTGGCTTCACTCTGTTAGTAACTTTTATCAAAGGAGATTTCAAGAACCATCTGCATAATCAGTACTACAGGTGCTAAGAAGAGGCAGCCCTGGTCTAATGTATATGGATAGTTCGAGCGAGATGTGCTTTCAATAACATCTGACATCACTTTTAAGTCTTCTAACATATAGTTTTGTCACCTGATAAATGCGAAAGAGGATGTCAGACTGGGGGGAGAGGGATGTCAGAATGGAGTGGCATGCATTTTAGACCCCTAAATATTCTTAGAGAAACAAAAACAGAGGGCTGCTGTTTTCAGTTCTTTAACTTTTACAACATCTGGTTTCATTTCTGGATGGCGGCTGCATGTGGAGTGATTCTGCTTTTCTTTTCTGCCCTGGGGTGACTTTTTAAAGCTACTTCATCTTAGCATTATTGCTCTGTTAATTTTTTTTCTTACAAACCCTGTGACATTTTAGGATCCAAAGTTGGCCCTCGTAAATGTAAGGCCCTGATCCTTCTCTCCATTTCATTGTGCTGTTGTGATATGTGCTACACCCTTGCTATATTTGTTGCGCATATGTAAACCATTGCATTATTTAAACCTCTTTCAGGTTCTGTGATATTTGTAGATCTCCCTTTTATTTTCTTCTCTGCCTCTTTTCTTTAGATAGAAGAACGTGCAGAGTTCTTGAACAAATCTGCCCAGAAGAGGTAAAGAGCTCAAACATAAAGAAAAAGGTTATAATGAAAGTTTAATGCGCAGGATATGAACTGACAAGTCTCTGTCATTTCATTCTTTCCACAGTGGCATGAAACCTACTCACACGACTCCAATTGTCTCCAAGATAGACAGTAGGTTGGAACAATATACCAGCGCAATTGAGGTGAGTGGCTTTCATCTTCTCAATTTCCCATGCTCTTCTGATTGACCACTGTGGTCAGGACAAATCAAACATTTTTCCTAGACCAAGATTTTTTAAAACATGTCATTAAATACTCTAGAATTCCTTGGAAGAGATGGAGCAATGGATATTTATTTAAGCTTATGAGTTCTGTCTCAATGTATGATGTACAGATTAGCCTGTTGAGTAGGACCCAGAGAGCCTCAGCTTTAAGACTGTCTTCAACCATGGAAACTCATTTGGGCCAGTTACCCTCAGTCAACCCAACTTACAAAGCTTTTTGTAGGGAGAAATTATATACTGCCTTAAGTTTCTGGGGGTGTCACATTGGCTCAGTGGTTCAGATGTTGGGCTTGCCGGGTAGAAAGCTGGCAGCCCAGGTTCAAGTCCCCAGCACCATGTGACAAGGTGAGCACCCGTCCTCTCCTCAGCTCCTGCTAACCTAGCAGTTCGAAGCATGCAAATGCAAGTAGTTAAACAGGCACCACTTCAGTGGGAAGGCAATAGCACTCCATGACATCATACTGGTCACATGACCATGGAAATGTCTTTGGATAGCACTGGCTCAATGGCCTAGAAATGGAGATGAGAACCATCCGCTATAGTCGGCAACAACTAGCACAGGGGTAGGCAATCTTGGCTCTTTTATGACTCGTGGACTTCAACTCCCAGAATTCCTGAGCCAACCATGCTGAGGGAAAAGGGAGAGGTTTCCAAACTGAGCCATGCTGGCTCAGGAATTCTGGGAGTTGAAGTCCACCAGTCATAAAAGAGCCAAGGTTGTCTACCCCTGGACTAGCAGAATAAAATCTGCAGGGACTCCTTTACCTTTTTAAGTTTCTGGAGAAAGATGGGATAAATCTAGCAAACAAATAAAGTACATTTCATTCAAATACCCCATTCGCTTAAGCTCCCCTCACTGCCTGAGCCTTTGTTTCAGTCTTCCTTTCAGTGGCCTTTGTGTGAAGTGTATTTAAGAGATCAACTTAAAATGAACTTGGGGAAATTGTTGTGGATTTATTTTGGCCATCGGTCCGTCTGATTGTTGGTTTGTAAGTTGGTGAGATTGAGCCAGGTTGTAGCCCAATAGCACTGGTAAAGTAGGAGGATGAAAAAAGAGTGGTGGCCCATTGGGGCAGCTATCCTGACTCACCAGTTGCTTCTTGCAGGGCAACAAAGCTGCAAAGGCCGCCAAGCCAGCTGCCTCTGACCTCCCAGTTCCTGCTGAGGGAGTGCGCAACATCAAGAGCATGTGGGAGAAAGGCAATGTGTTTTCATCACCCTCTGGAATGGGGACACCCAATAAGGTACATGTCATCCTTCAGACCTTCCTGCCCTTGTGACTGACTCTGCAGTTCCCAGGTCAGTCAAGGCAAGGCATATAAATAAGACCTGAGGTAATTAGTGAAAATGCAGATTCTGAACTTCAAACAGGAAAGGAAGTTTTGCTTTTTGAAAGGTATTTTTTAATTCTGTTTCTGAGATGGTGTTTCACGGAGACATCGCTCTGAGTATTGAAGCTATGAAACAAAGCTTCGGCATAAGAGTTCATGGATTGGTAAACTTCTGAACTGTAGGACTTCTCATATGTGTTCTTGTGAAATTGCACAGATGTTTATGAGATTTAGCACTCTTACACACTAAAACATATAGATTTGGGTGATCAGCTGTTTCAATCTGTAGGGCTGTTCATTCTTACCAAGAAGTTTCCAATTCTATTTACAAACAAATGTTCTGCAGGAAACAGCTGGGCTAAAGGTTGGAGTCTCCAGTCGCATCAATGAATGGTTAACTAAGACCCCAGAAAGCAACAAATCAGCTGCTTCAAAACCATCAGTGAGTACTTGCTCCTCTTTTTTTTCAGTAGTATCATAAAATAAAATAGAAGCTTAATAACCTTTACAGGAAAGAAAGAGAACTTCAGTACTATTTTGGTAGATATTACTGCCTTCGGATTTGGGATGCTCATCCACATTGGCTTATCTTTATTTCAATAATTTCTTGTCCTTGCCATCATCACTGATTGATTGCCCAGGCAGTTGACAGAGGAGTTCAGGGTTTTAGTCTAGTGCTGTCTTAGAACAGAACAGGCGAGTAGTCAGCACATCATGGATAATGCAGATGTGGTGTATATTTGAACCTATTGAACCAAAGCGCTTGAAGGCAGGACAAGAAGCAACGGATGGAAACTAACCAAAGAGAGAAGCAACCTAGAACTAAGGAGAAATTTCCTGACAGTTAGAACAATTAACCAGTGGAACAACCTGTCTCTAGAAGCGGTGAATGCTCCAACACTGGAAGTTTTTAAGAAGAAACTGGACAGTCATTTGTCCGAAATGGTATAGGGTTTCCTGCCTGAGCAGGGGGTTGGACTAGATGACTTCCAACGTCCCTTCCAACTCTATTATTATTATTATTATTATTATTATTATTATTATTATTATTATCATTATCATTATCATTATCATTATCATCATTATTATCATTATTATCATTATTATCATTATTATCATTATCATCATCATCATCATCATTATTATATTGTCATTATTATTATCATTATTATTATTATTATTCCTTACCATTTGTGAATGATAAAAACTATAATGTGAGAACCCAGTGTTCAGAAGGTTGTCCCTGTTTTGAGTGTACCAAGGGCATCCTTACTCAACCTGATGTTCTCCAGCGTGTTTAGATTATATTTTTTATAATTTGCAACCAAATGGAAATTGCAACCTACTGTTGGAGCTAAAGTGGTGGTTTCGATAGCTGTGGTATGTTATCAATCTGCTGTTTCTACGTTCTTCTCTATTCAAAACTAGCAGCCAGATGTTCATAGCTCAGAGATAAATATTTCATATAAGAAGGCTGGACATTATAAGTAGACTATAGTAGAATTATTCATAGACGTGAGTTGATACTAATCTGTCCTTTCTCTCCATTCCTTCTTTCTCAGTCAACTGCTTTCTTCTCTTCCCTCTTTCGCCATCTTCTTGGCTGGAATTCTCTACATATCTCCGTTGTTCTGTTCTTCTTTCGGATTGACTGTTTGCTTTTAAACTGAGTCAGGTAAATCAGTTTTAAAACTCTTCTGCAACACCGTGACCTTCCAGTTCCAGCCCATTTATGTATGTCAAGTTATGTGTGGACCTATTTTTTGAAAGAAACGATTTAAAAGTCTCATGGTTTCACCTTTGGGGAAGGTTTGTTTAAATAGCACGAAGTTTGATACATACATACATACATACATACATACATACATACATACATACATACGTATATTTGCCCCGTTCTTTGTTTCAAATGCTTGCTTTGTTTTCTTTTGGAAATAGGACTTAAGACCTGGAGATGTATCTGGCAAACGCAACCTTTGGGAAAAGCAGTCGGTTGAGAAGACCCCTTCTCCATCAAAGGTGACCACCCCATCTGTTCCTATTCCATTTTGGGGAGTGGGGTGGTGGTATAATCTCTGAAGTCCCCTTCAACTGCCCTGCTGAATTTCACTGACTTAATTGCCAAATCTAGGAGAATAATGTAGAATAGATCCCAAACTATTTTTATTGTCCTGTCTTTCTATTCCATCGAAGGTGGCTAATATTAGTTGAACAAACATTTAAAATGAAACTTGATTCTAATATAAATTAACCATTAAAGCCTTAGCTGTTTTCTTAATACCAAGGAAGTGGAGGAAACTGGCCAAGAAGGGCATTTAATGCCTGAGAACAATGCATAAGTCCTGCTTCCTTGAGGACACAGGCATTTTCAAAAACTCCTCTTCTGCAGATTTGAACACTCAATTTTACAATGGGAGAGAGACTCTCTTAGATAGTCAGCTCCTATCCCAAGTAGGGGTTTAAAGGTCAATTAAATGTGTTAAATTGTGCTTGGTAAACAGTTGAGATTTCATTATAGGCATTGTATGAAACCCCTGTATGAACTTATGAACTTTGCATTGGTTAGTGATCTAGGTGCCCCATTTCCATCAATTGCAACATTTTCTTATTTTTCAAAGGTAATCCTATGTAAAGTATATTGCAGTAGTCTAGCAAGATGAAATAAATGCATAACTGTCCTCAGATATGATAATTCACGAAGTGACAGCTGTGCACTAGGTGGAATTGTGCAGACATGCTTCTCATCAGAGATGTCATCTATGAATCTAGTAACAACTGAGGATCAAGGAGTTTAATGAAAAGAAGGACGAGGGGGGACATGATAGCAGTATTCCAATATCTCAGGGGCTGCCCCAAAGAAGAGGGAGTCAAGCTATTTTCCAAGGGACCTGAAGGCAGGACAAGAAGCAACGGGTGGAAACTAATCAAGGAGAGAAGCAACCTAGAACTAAGGAGAAATTTCCTGACAGTTAGAACAATTAACCAGTGGAACAGCCTGCCTCCAGAAGCGGTGAATGCTCCAACAATGGAAGTTTTTAAGAAGAAACTGGACAGCCATTTGTCCGAAATGGTATAGGGTTACCTGCCTGAGCAGGGGGTTGGACTTGATGACCTCCAAGGTCCCTTCCAACTTTACTACTACTACTACTACTACTACTACTACTACTACTACTACTACTATTATCCTCCAACTGTTTATTTACAAAGACATCCAGCCCACAAAGGGGAACTGATCAATAGACAGGCCTATTATGGTTTATTTTATCTCTCATTCATTGCGTTCTTTGTACACCATATCCACATCGTTAAGATCTACCAACCAAAAAATGAAAAATAAAAATCCAGTATTTACTGCTAATAAACACTTTATGTTTCTCTAACCTTTTTTTTTTATTTCTCTTTTCTTGAATCAGGTCACAGCAGCAGGAAGGAAGCTGGAGACCAATGGTAAGCAAAAGCGAGCATTTCAGTGTTCAGTGGTCTGAACAAGGGGCCCAAGCCTCAATTTTGGAATAATATTAATAGGATTGTCAGACAGTCTCCCCTCCTCAGTGGCCTGTCCCTGATGGCAAATGGGGCTTTTTGGCTGGAATCTATAAGAGGCAAACAGCAGATCATTCAGATTCCTGGCTAGTTTCAAAGCCTCTGAAGATGTGAGCTACCCATTGAATATTGTATTGTTCTTCCTATGGTCCTCTTTATTATTGCTGTATCTTCAACTCAGCTCTCCTTTTATGTAGTATTCCAGCTATTGTCTTTTCTTTCCTGCCCCCCAACATTGGGTAAATTTGCCTGTGAATTGGCTCACCTATCACGTGAAGCTATGATTGGCTTGGCCATAGGTGAATAAGCTATTATTAGATGGGTTTGCTCAACACGATCCAATGCCATAACCATGGTTTGCATACAGCAGTGTCTGGATCCATTTATAAACAAGAATCTAGCCAAGCACTTTATAGGTTAATGTAAGATATATCATGGTCTTTCTGTTCACATTCCTGCCCACTATGAAGAAACAATTACTTTTATTTCCTTCCTGTTCAGCTCCTTACTGGTCTAATTAAGCATCTCCAACTTAAGTAGGTATTAATGAGCCTTTTGAAATCTTTTAAATGGTTCTCTGCAGGATCCATTTCTTTTCAGGCATTATACCAGTACTGAGATATGCTTACTTACCCAAGAATAAGCTGATTCAAACCCAATTTTGCAGCTCAATATACTAAAAGATTGCGTTCCATATGAATGAGGAGGTAAAATTTGAGCTGGGAGCAGTAAAAAGTATGGACCCTTTAAACCAGTGGTTCTCAACCTGTGGGTCGGGACCCCATTTGGGGTCGAACGACCATTTCACGGGGGTCGCCAAACAATGCAGTCCGCCATTTTTTTCCCCTTTTCCTTAGCTGTGCTACTCCCTTTTATTCTATTGGTTTTTGAAAGCCAATAGAATAGACTCTCTTGAATAGAGTCTAATTCTATTGGCTTTCAAAAGCCAATAGGAATTGTCCAGGCTGTCTCTGCCCTGCTGAGCCCGCCAAGTCCCATTCTGCAAACGGTGCTGCACCAGTTGAGTAGTCCTCGACTTACAACCGGTTGAGTAGTCCTCGACTTACGACCGGTTGGGGGTCGCGGCATTAAAAAGGTTGAGAACCACTGCTTTAAACACTAGGTTTAACTAATTTGTCTTTTGAAAAGAAGCAATAAGTGGTAGTTAAAAGTGAACCTATTGGAAATCAAAATCACATGAAATATTGGTACTACTTTATAAATCCTTAGTAAGACCACACCTGGAATACTGCATCCAGTTTTGGTCACCACATTACAAAAAGATGTTGAGACTTTGGGGAAAAGTGCAAAGAAGAGCATTAAGATGATTAAGGGCCTGGAGAGAAAAACATATGAAGAACAGTTGCAAGAATTGGGCATGTCTAGTCTAGGGAAAAGAAGGACTTGGGGTGACATGATAGCAGTATTCCAGTATTTGACAGGCTGCCACAAAGAAGAGAGGGTCAACTTATTCTCCAAAGCAGCAGAAGGCAAGACAAGAAACAATGGATGAAAACTAATCAAGGAGAGAAGCAATCAGGAATTAAGGAGAAACTTCCTAACAGTGAGAACAGTTAACCAGTGGAACAGCTTGCCTTCAGAAGTTGTGGGTCCTTCATTACTGGAGATTTTTTAAGAAACTGAACAGCCACCTGTCTGAAATAGTACAGGGTCTACTGCTTGAGCAGAGGGTTGGACTAAAAAACCTCCAAGGTCCCTTCCAGTTCTATTCTGATTCTGATTCTTCTAGAAGATTGTGGAGAATGAGCAAGAAAGGAAGATGGTATAGTCCTTAAAATTTGATTTTAGCATTGCAACCTAAGCAAGTCCTTGGACAAGTAAGGGTTTTCCAACTAAGCCCCAAATGGTGACATTTCTGGTGATTTGAGGCAACTCCACCACTTTTCTTTCTTTCAGCAGGTTTGAGACAATTTGAAAAGGAGCCTTAAGGAAGCCACCAATTACGCTGGACCAATTCGGTTTTCAAAAACAGAAGTGCTAAATTTGTCCTCTTCTTTTTATATATATTTATGTTTGTTTTTGTTGGTTTATTGGGGGGGCGGGGGGTTGGCTACATTATCCCAGTTTTTAAGGAAACCATGTATATTAGCACTGTATTTAATATTCAGTCTTAAAACATTTGTCTTAATAGTAGTGCCTTGTAACAAGAGCCTTGTTCCTCAAAGAAATCCATGCTGTGAAAGAGAGACACTTCTACTGAAGAAGTCTAACAAACTGTGTGTCCAGACTAGAAACATTCAACATGTAGGAGAGGACATCTGCTGTGCACACCTTCCACTTGTGAGTCCTATCCCAAATAGGTGAGGCAAACACAGGGCCAGGATAGGCGGAACACAGGCTGGTCCATTCACAAGCAAAGCACCTGATCAGTGGGCCCTCAAGAGTCAAGGCAGAGTCAACCTCTTTGCTACTATTGACTTATTGTTGACTTGAGTGTAGAAAGGTTTGGTATAATTCTCTAAGCCTATCGTGGTCCATAGAACACTATATGATAGGTTCACCATCTTTGATGGTCCACCACCTTTGATAGAACGGTGGCCTTCCCTTTTGCGCTCCAGCATTATATTACAGATTAAGAGGATGCCACGGATGTTGTTGGTGGAGTGGCTAATCCATCACTTTCATTTTGTTTGGGACATACCTGTAAGTGGAGAGCATCTTCTCCATCCATAAGGTCATGTGCAAAGCCAAGGAGTCTTACTTTCCATGAAAGGAAAGTAGAGGAGATGCAAGGATCCCACACAAATATCCTTCCCATACCTAAGTGAGATGAGCCCCATTTTTTTTCCTTTCAGCACTTTAGAGTAAGGCATGGAAGAAACATGCTGAGTTGGCCATTTCTTTCCGTAACTAGTCCATAATGAATTAGCATCATCAATACAACTTTCATAGTTTGAAGTAGCATTCCCCCGCTCCCTTTGGTAAGTTATAGTTAATACTTTGAATTTGGACAATGGCAATCCGCAGTGGTACTGATAATGTATCTCTCTCCTTTTTGTTTGTATTTTTTTAAAAAAATAGTTAACAGTTTTAGAATATATACATTTTGCTTTTCTAAATGTTATGTATAAGGCACTACTAATGATAGAAGGCTTTTAATACTTATTTACTTCATTTAGCTATAAACGTACATAACTAGCCAATATCACAACTTTTTTTTTTAAAAAAAAAGAATACACACCTTTTATATTAATATTCCATAATTGCCATTAGGGACATGGCAAGAGAAGTATTAGATTTTGTTTTTTTAAAAAAATAATAATAAGATGAGCGAATAAAATTATAGTTTTAAAGAGGGAAGAAAAAAAGTTTTAGGTCATAGGTCACATGTATAAAACAATATAGCTAATTTATATAGAACTACCATAATTACCACACAAGAAATACATGCACACGCGCTGTTGGGTATCCTTTTTCCCCACTTTATTGCACACTGATTTTGCTTTTTATCAGGTCTGTATACATGTCTCACATTCTCGCTTTAGAAAATAAATAGGGCACCATCCTTCCCATTGCCATACAATTTTGTGCACAAGTATAGTAGCCCTTGGCCCTAAGCCAGTTTTTGGATTATGCTACAGGTTTTCTGAAGAAAGAAGAAACAAGTGTCGGCTTAGCTCAGGGGTAGGCAACCTTGGCTCTTTTATGACTCGTGGACTTCAATTCCCAGAATTCCTGAGCCAGCATGGCTCAGCTTGGAAACTCCCGTTCCCTCAGCATGGCTGGCTCAGGAATTCTGGGAGTTGAAGTCCATGAGTCATAAAAGAGCCAAGGTTGCCTACCCCTGCCCTAGGTGCACTAACCAAGGAGGGCAGAGGGTCACTTTCTGTAGCCCAGCTGGTACCTTCCAGATGCATTGGAAATCTGAGAAGTTACAATCCCAACACATCTGGAAAATCACACGTTGGGAAGGGCTACTTGATGCTCTTCAACCTTCTCCCTCCCTTCTCAAGAAGTCTAAAGCTAGAGAACAAGCACTTGCTGAATTGCGGGCAATGGGGAAGAAGGCTTCATTTGAACCCAGAAGCCTCTCCAGAGAGGATTATCTGGTGTGCTTCAGTCACTTCACTCCAAGTCTTTAACATCCATATTATTTGACCTGTATATAGTAAACCATAAAAGTTTTTTTTAAAGTAAGTTTGAATTTACAAATCACATGATGATTAGGGTTCTTTTTTTTACATCATACTTTGGGTGGAGTGAAGTGAGCTTTATTTAAAATTTATAGCCCACTCCAAATGCGACAATAGCTTGAGAATGGTTAATTTCTGTATACAGGTTTACATTTTTATTGCATCTGTTTGTCCTTTTTAGTTTTTTTTTTTTTTTTTTTAAGATGGAATAGCGGTATCCAAGCTCCATTGCTTTTGTGAATCATCAAGTTTACATAATTTCACGGGGGCTTACCGGCTGGATCAGAATCATAAAAGAAGAAGTCTTGGGTCTGTTTGTGGTTTGGCTGTTTGTTTTTTTAAATACACTTTGGAATCCTTACATCTGAATACCTACCATAAAACCAGTATGCTGAATTTGTAATTCACAATAAATGGAGTTTGTCTGCCAGATGGATGGAGTGATTTTCTTTCTCAACCAGGGCTTTTGCATGTCATTAGGCTCCTGACATTACCTTCATGTTTGTCTTGCATCTTCAGTTATTTTTTCTGACAAAACCACCACTTCAGTGCAATTACGCTGTACTGTTCATTCACTTTGTGTTCAATTTATATTCATTCAGGCCCGTTCATACCTGTCTCTGTTCTTGTTTTACCCACAAACAAGTAATAGCAATAGCACTTAGACTTATATACCACTTCACAGTGCTTTATACTGCAATTGGGATCACAATTTCTGCCTGAAGTCCTTGCAGTCCTAAGTCAAATCAGATGATAATTTTTATGGCATAAAGTCATTAAGTGAATTGCAGCTGTTAAGCAAATCCAGCTTCCCCAATGAACATTTTTCTAGCTAGAAATTTTGAAAATCACGATCATACGATCATAGGATGCTACAATCAGTCATAAATGTGAATTGGCTGCCAAGCAACCAAATTGCATTAATGTGACTGGTGATGCAACAATTGTAAGTGCAACTACAGGTTGTAAGTCATTTTTTTCCAAGGCCGTTTTAACTTTGAACCATTGTGAAACAAATGGTCGTAAATTGAAGACTACCTCTACCTCTTAAGTAACCCTTTCCTCCTGCATTCGATTTACTATCATGTTTCTCTTGATATATTTGCCTCTCACTTGTGTACTGTACTGTAGGACAGGACACTCGTATACAACCATTTTTGCTTCTTTCAGCATTCTTTTCTTCTTTGTCTTCTATCAACATTTGCACATATAGTATTAAACAGTTTCCAGTTCCCTTTTTAAAATTTTCTGCCAGAATACACAAATTCATTTCCTTGTTCTATACTTCACCATTTACTTATGCATTCATTGTTCCTATTTTTCTGGTCAAACGAAGCTACCTGCATATTTAGGGCATTTATTTTCAGATCTACACTCTTTTTGCTATATCTTGGAGGCCCACACAGTTTCCAGCATATCACCAAGTAGAAGGCGCATGCACAAGACTATCATACTTAGGCTATAGCGACCTTCTTTTGCCAAGGATGAAATTCTGTATGGGGAAGCAAGCAAGGCTCAAAGTGGCAAAACTGGGACCTGCAACCAGCTAGGAACCACACACCATTTGTAGCAATACATAGGGATCTAAATCAGCTTGAAAAACATATGACTGTTTTCCCAGAGTGGAGGTGGATGGTTCTAGGTAAACATAATAAAACAAAACTATTGGCCCGTTATGTGCCCATCCTGCTCATCAATTTACTATATCATTTCCACCAATTATTGAATTTGTAATATCAGTTCTATGATTGTTTCTAAATGCAAAGAATCAGCATGATAACCTTCAATATATGTTCCTGACCTACTGCCCAAATTTTTCCAACTATTATGAAGTTGTTGTGGAGGAAGGAAGAAAAACAGGAGGAGCAGATATCTATCTACGGTTTTGGGAAGTTCTTAACCTGACAACTATGTCCACTTTTCAGGATATGTTTTCTTCTTTGCAATTTGTCTCTATGTGGGCAGGGGGCTACTCAGTTGGTGAGGACTAGTGACACATGATAAAGTTCTACATGAATGGAATTCCTATATTTTGGGGGCCAGTTATCCAATATCTTAGTACAGTGATGGCAAACCTTTTAGACACTGAGTGCCCAAAAACTGGTCCTGCCCCCGCTCCACCCCCTGCCCCGCCCTGCTTCACCCCCACCTCGTTCCCCACCCCGCCTGCCCTCAGGGCCACTCACCACCTCCAGGGCCTGCCGCAGATCGCCCAGGCAGCCCAGCAGCACCATGGTGGCCACACCCTTTGCCCGCACCCCGCAGCATCAACTGTGCAGGATGGGGCATGAGGGCAGAGTCTTGTCTATGCTGCCTGGCTGCCATGTCCTTGGCTGCGCTGGTCCGTGTGGGCCACGCTCGGGGCGACTCTCCTCCAGGGGGGCTGCTGGTGAGGGGGTCGGGGGAGGCGAGGCTGGGGCAACAGCACATGTGCCCACAGAGAGGGCTCTGAGTGCTGCCTCTGGCACGCATGCCATAGGTTCACCACCACTGTCTTAGTAACTGACTTTAAATGTGTAGTTTTATGTTTGATGGCAATCGCAAGAATAAGACAAGGAAAATGCATTAGAACGTATCTTTTTTTTTAAAAAAAAACCAGCACAATATCCATTTCCAACACAGATATGAATTCAAGCAAGCACATTCAAATAAATTCTGCATCATAAAGCCACCAACCAATGAGAATGACGACTGGATACTTTTAAAATTTCATTGTGGAAAATGTTGTAGATATGACATGGATTTTCAGGGGGCAATTAAACGCAGTCTTCCATTCATCCCCCTTCCTTATTCTATAGGAAGCCTCCCGCAAGTCTAGTTTGGAGAAAATCTTTCCTTTTGAATGCACCTAATAAATGATAATAGAAACAATTTCCTTGTTCCAAAAGCATAGGTCTCCTGTGTCCTATTTTATTTACATGTTGGTGCTCTTTCCAGAAACTCAACAGTGTTTGTGACTATTCTCCTAGTTCTAATTCTTACATCTCTAAAGTTGTGGATTACACTTGAATTATTAGCAACTGGTTGGTTTAAGACGATTATAATCATAATCAAGGTATCAAGATAATCATATCAGTTTTATATTAGTTAATCATAATATAATCATAGTTTTATAGCCTAGTTGGAATCCAAATTTTTCTACTCTATGTATGTAATCTTTCTCCACGCTGTATCTTTACCAGCTGATTTCACAGAATCTGGAAGTACTGTTTAAAATATTTTTTAAACATCATTTATTGAAAAAACACTAGCTGAGCTCTTACAACATACTAAATCAACTGTAATTTATAACCCATGGTGACTGAGCAAATACAATATGCTAAGCTTTGAACAATCAAGCTACATTATTATTTAACACAAGGGGTGACCAATCTTGACTGGGACTGGGTCATGCTTAATTTGTTTTGGGTACGAGGGTTGCAATGGATGATTTCATTATACAAAGAAGATGGGGACTATGTTTTCTCCTCCCCCCTTTTGTGTTTTGCATTGATATGGACTCATTCTACTTATTTAAAAAATACTATATTAGGTGTACAGTATTTAAGATTTCCTCTATAATATATGGTGGTGCTGCACTTAAAATTCAGTTCCAAAAAGATGCATGGGCGATGGTGTGGGTGGAACATAGCTGTAGAGCAGCGGTTCTCAACCTGTGGGTCGCGACCCCATTTGGGGTCGAACGATCATTTCACGGGGGTCGCCAAACAACGCAGTCCGCCATTTTTCCCCTTTTTCCTTAGCTGTGCTACTCCCTTTTATTCTATTGGCTTTTGAAATCCAATAGAATTAGACTCTCTTGAATAGAGTCTAATTCTATTGGCTTTCAAAAGCCAATAGGAATTGTCCAGGCTGTCTCTGCCCTGCTGAGCCTGCCAAAAGTCCCATTCTGCAAACGATGCTGCAAGTTGTCTGCAGCGAAGGCAAGCTGTCTGGAAGTTTCCACCCCTCCCTGCTGAGCAACTACTAAAAATGTAAGTAAAAGAGGGCCAGGGGTGGGAGGTGGGAGGCCAGCGGGCGCAGGAGGGTTGTTGGCGTGCGTGGGGTCTGGTGGGTGCCTTACCTCCCCTGGGCAGGCCCAGCCGGTGGTCAGCCTGCACCGTCTCTGCCGCTTGCCAGCTACGCCTCGGACGGCGCAGGATGCAGCACCACACATGCGCGGCGCTCCCGGGCAGGGAAAGTCCTCAACTTACGACCAGTTGGGTAGTCCTCGACTTACAACCAGTTGGGGGTCGCGGCATTAAAAAAGTTGAGAACCACTGCTGTAGAAAGTCACAGAAATAACCCCAGGCGGTGGGCCCTTGCAAGTACCTGCCTCTTACAGCTCCAAGACTGACACCTTACCTTTGCTGGCCAGCCACTCTGTACACGCCATCCCTTTCTGCCCCCTAGGATGAAGTTTTAGCCAAGTTTTGCCAAGCCTGCCCCAGCCGCTCTCGGGTCGCGTTGAAGGAACGAACTAAAGTGCCACTCTCCGATTCTCGTCCTCTATGCTGGGCAAACTCCCATCGCCTCTTGCGGAGGCATACCGGGCGGCTCTGGGGCTCCCCAGCTTGTATTCTTTTGTCTCTGTGAGGTCTGGCACGCCTTAACTGGGTTTGTTCCAATGCCCGGATAAGTGCAAAAGACGCAGGGCTGCATGAACACATGAGCGATCGGGTCGCTTTGGAAAAGCATGGACTTTCTGGTTTATGGAAGATCATCACTATGGGAAGGGCTTCCTTCAAAGGGCTCAGAACAGAGGCAAGGAAAGCCGGTGCTAGCTATAAGGGATTAGACCTGGACAAAGGTAGATAGAGTTTAAGGCCTGGCTTGGTCCCTCTGGCAGTTCACATTGGTTCTGAGGCCAAACTTGGAGGCTTTCTGGGTGGCTCAGAAAAGGCGGCCTATGAATACAATTAACCAAGTGTTCCTCATTCACACAGCAGCTATGGCCATTGGGAGACTTGAGATAACAGGTTAGGGATAGATCTGATGGAGAAAATCGATCTAGTGGGGGCTGGGAGTCGGAAATGTCTTGGTGACCGGACATCAGTCAATCAGTCCCATAAGAAGCTAATGAGGTCAGTTAAGGCAGGAGGACTCCCTTGCTTATCGACATGATTTATTGTTAAGTTTCTAGGAGATCAGTGGCCTCCAAATAATGCTTTTCTGATGGCCACTTAATTGAGGTTTTAAAGATACATGTGCATTAAAAAAATATAGAGCCTCAGTTTTTGGATTATGCTACAGGTTTTCTGAAGAAAGAAGAAACAAGTGTCGGCTTAGCTCAGGGGTAGGCAACCTTGGCTCTTTTATGACTCGTGGACTTCAACTCCCAGAATTCCTGAGCCAGCATGGCTCAGCTTGGAAACTCCCGTTCCCCTCAGCACGGCTGGCTCAGGAATTCTGGGAGTTGAAGTCCACGAGTCATAAAAGAGCTAAGGTTGCCTACCCTTGGCTTAGCTGGATCGCCATTCAAGAGATGAAAACAGGTAGTCCTCGATTTATAGCCATTCTCACTTAATGACTTTTCAAAGTTACAACGGCATTGAAAAAAGTGACTTTTGATCAGTTTTCACACTTAACAACAGTTGCAGCATCCCCATGGTGAGGTGATCAGACATATAGCAACTGGTGTGTATTTTTGACCATTGCATTGTCCTTGGATAATGTGGTCACCATTTGCTTCTGACAAACAAAGTCAATGGTTGATTCACTTAACAACTACGGAAAGGAAGTTTGTCAAATGGGGCAAAACCCACTTAACAACTATCTTGTTCAGCAAAAGAAATTTTGGGCTCAGTGGTTGTAAGTTGAGAACTCCCTATAGCAGACATGTCAAACACAAGGCCCAGGGGCCGGATGTGGCCCGCAAAGTGGTTTCATGTGGCCTGTGAAGCCATCCTGGAAACAGAGAGGGAACAGCCCCCTCTGCCTTGGCCCTGGCCCAGGCCAGCTGGGAGCCAATGTACATATTTTGTGGTGGCCACCTTGGCACTTGCCCCGGTGGACCATGCCTTGGCACTTTCCCCGGTCCTACCCCCTTCTGCCAGAGACCCTCAGATCTGTCCCACTCCTGCCCAGGTCCCCATAGGCACCCTTGGCCTAAATGATGTAGAACTGGCCATGCCAACCCAATAGGCTGCACCCTCTCTGGCCACCCCCCCCCCAGGGCAACCACAATGCTGATGCGGCCCTCAGTGAAATTGCATTTGACACCCCTGCCCTATAGCAAAAAGGCCATTCATAAATGTAATTGTGTCATAATCTTGCTCTTCTTAGTAGAGTAATAAATAGGAAGTGCAGAATTCTTTTTAAGACGTTTGAAGCCTCTCTGTGTGGAGTAGAGTGAAGCACCTAGATAATACAGAAGTTCTGACAATAATTATCACTAAATATTTGCAGTTAGTGATTATGTAGTAATTTAGCTGATCCTGATTTCTGAAATTGCTTGGCTCATTTACTCAAATTGCCCATTGATGACAACTTAACAATAAACATTTTAGAGTATGCAGTGCTTTTTTTCTAAAAAAAAAAAAAAAAGGTGCCGGAACTCACATACGTCATACAACCCGCCTTGCCTACCCTACAAGGTTCCATCTAAAAAAGGTGCTGGAACTCCGTTCTGGGCATTCTATGAGAAAAAAAAAGCCCCGAGAGTATGAATGGATGAGTGTGAAAATTCTTCCCAGAGACAGTGGGATGGATAGGAGTCAAGCAAAAAACTGCAAACAAAAAAATGGGGTCAGCTGAGAAGTGGAAAATCAAAAACGGCTGCCAAGAAGCCTTCATGGGGTGTTGTGACCTCTAAATGTGTTAAACATAAATGTAAATTTGCTAAGTTTGTTAAAAGGTGCAAGTTTTAACAACTTGCAGGAATACTTGCAGGAATCAGGAAGAGATTTGGCACACATGACTTTTTCTACTGGATTTTTAAATCCAGATTTTACTCCAGATTTTTGAGAAGTTTCCTGTTTTGAATTAACTGTGACTATATTAGATCCAGCTGGCAGTTTGTGTTTCCCTGTGGAAGTGTCTGAAATTAACATTAATTATGATCCTTTCCAGTTTCTTCCATAAGAATTACTTCTTGCAATTTGTTTTAGTACTATTTAGGATTAAATCTAGGATTAACTCCGCTTGGATGGTTCCAAAATGAACTCTTCTAAGGAACAATCATTGTAGGTGTTTGGTACCACTTTTAAAAATGTCAGTTGTAAATCAAGCATTTTGTATTTGTACCCTGGCATCAAACTTAAGATGACTTATGTTGTGATGTTCTAGCGCATTTCATCATTTGCCCCATTTAACAATAATAATTTAGGGTTTCCAGAAATCTGGTTTCTTTGTTGTGACATTTGCCTGAATATCCAAGTCAGGATAATTGAAGGCCCCATTATTACAAAAAATCTTTCCTGATTTTTTTTCTCCATTTGAAGGTTACCTTCAAGTCTGCTGATACAGAGGTATCAGCTGATACAGTTCTACAGATGAATTATTGAGTCTGTCATTTATACTTTAGTAACTGTCTGCTTTGGCACAGCAAACAAACAGGACAGGTACAGACTCCAACGAATAGTAAAGACTGCAGAAAAAACAAATGCATCCAACTTGTCTTCCATTGAGGACCGGTGTATTGCATGGATCAAAAAGAGAGCTGAGAACACAGCTTTAGACCCCACACATCCTGGACATAAACTATTTCAACTTCTCCCCTCAGGATGGCGCTATATAGCATTGCATGTGAAAACAACTAGATAGGGACAGTTTTTTCCCCTCAGGCCATCAATCTGCTTAATTCTCACAGCACCAGCTTATGCGTAAACATAATTATCCATGTAGTAGGATTGTATTGCTTTTATCCTTCTCATCTTCTCATCTTTCCTGCTACCTTCTCCTATTGGTACCTTATGATTTATCACTTGTTTGTATCTTATGATTTATGATTGTATCTTATGATTTATGATCTATGGCTGTTTGTATGTCCATTGAGACATACACCAGAGACAAATGCACCAGAGACAAATTCCTTGTGTGTCCAATCACACTTGGTCAGTAAAGAATATTCCAATTCCAAGTCTATTGAGTCAGAGAGGTAGAAATGTTTCTAATTTACTTTTGTGGTTTTACTTTAATTCTTTCATAATTTATGGTTTTACTTTAATTCCTTCATAATTTGCACAGCTTGTCTGGATTCATGAGGGCATCATTCCTTCACCCCTCAGGATTCAGTGAGGATTCAGCCTCACACAAGATAACGGTGGATAGATCAGTTTGCATAACTATAATGTCTATGCAAATAACTGAGCATGTTTGCAATGTGCAGTTTGGGAAGGATTGGATGGAAACACCCTTCAGCCTTACAATAATATGAGGATTATTGGGATTCTGGTACTGTTCTGCTATCCCGTTCCATCTTCACCTAGTGCAGGGGTAGGCAATCTTGGCTCTTTTATGACTCGTGGACTTCATCTCCCAGAATTCCTGAGCCAGCCATGCTGAGGGGAAAGGGAGAATTTCTAAGCTGAGCCATGCTGGCTCAGGAATTCTGGGAGTTGAAGTCCACGAGTCATAAAAGAGCCAAGGTTGCCTACCCCTGACCTAGTGGGTTGTATGGGATTCAGAGATGGCTGAGAAGAATAAGAAAAACACACATGAACATATCAGATAGTCAATTTCCTATTTTACTGTAAGCTTGCAGTTGCCCTGGGATTTCGGTTAAGAGCCAACCCCTTAATATGTCCAAACCCCTGCATCTCACTTTTTTCTTCCCCACGGGTGACCAGATGCGGCGTTCAAGTGGCCGCAACTATTGAGGAGATTCCACTTCCCTCCAGTCCAAGAAGACTGTCCCTAGATGCCTGCACCCTCTGGATGGCCTTTAAAGCTTTTGCTGTGCTATCTGTGGAGGTCCTACATTTGCAGTGATTGGCAAAAAAACAGAAGGGAAGCGTTTGCACGATATAGTTCAAGAGAGTGTTGAGGTTTTCTTCCTCCGACATTTTTTCCCAAACGCGGGCAAAGATTTTCCAGCAGAGTTCCTGAAGGCAAGTGAGAGCAGAGAGGACCAACTTGAGGTCTTCTAGGATGTAACAAGCTTGGGGAACGTTCTCATTAAATTTGGCAGACAGTTCTTCAACAGTAAAGAGGAGGATCAAGTAGATAGTCCTCAGGGGAAGTGTTATGGTGTAGTACAAGGCTATTAGCCAACCTTTCCATTCCTAGGGGTATAAAAAAACATACACTGGGGATTATTAGAATTGGAAATATCCTATAGTTAAACCACTGTTCCATTGTCTTGAGATTTTCTAAGCTGCTCTTCAAAAGCTGCTTTACAGAATATTAAACATGAATCTCACTCATCTTGACAAAACAGGTGTTTTGTCACAGAGATACAGCCCCTGTTTAAAAATAGATTTCAGTGTGACATCTATTGTGACAAGACTGTTGACTGTTTCACTACAGGTAGTCCTCAACCTATGACCATTTATTTAACAACAGTTCAAAGTTATGTTGAAGCTGAAAACAGTGACATTGCTCTCTGCGGTCATGTGATCATGATTTGGGCACTTGGGAACCGGCTCTTATTTGTGATGGTTGCAGCATCCTGCAATTAACATGATCACGATTTGCAATCTTCCCAGTGGTTTCCAACAAGCAAAATCAATAAGGGAAGCTGGGTTTGCTTAATGATTGTGTGATTCGCTTAATGACTGCAGTAAAAAAATCATAAAATCAGGGCCAGTAACGTGATGATGATTTGCTTAATGACTGTATTGCATAATAGTTGAAATTCACATCCCAACTGTGGTTGTAAGTCAAGGACTACCTGTAGTTCTTACGCTTTTAACAATAGCTTGATATATGCTAATAGTTACCTCCTGTTCTAACCTGATAGACAATTTAACCCCCTTTTCCCAGGAATTCTTCAGCAAAAGTTAATTAGGACAAACCCAATCTCCTCAGTTTAACTGGGGGTCCTTAACCCTCCTAGTAAGGAGTTTCTCTTAGGCCCAGTTCTAGAAAAAAAATAGAAAGGAAGGTACTTTGGATCTTCCTACCTGAAGTGAACAATTCAAAACTGAAATTATTCTTGAAACACAAGGGGGCGCTGTACAATCATGCAGTTTTGCATAGGGGCAGGTTTTCGGAAGAGGTGCCCTGATCTGCCTTTTCTGAACCCGTGAAGCCAAATCTCTAGATTTTTTTCAAAAAGGGAGTTATTGGGAAAAGTAAAACAAGAGTAGCCAATAGTCATTCACACAACATTCCAAATAAGACCAATTTAGGCAGGCAAATTACATGAGTGCTATAGTACCTGCTTTAAAGGAATTGCTCAAAGTTTATTTCTGTATGATGGAGAGACGTTAAAATTCAGGGGTTCTCAACCTTGGCAACTTTAAGACTTGTGGACTTCAACTCCCAGAATTCCTCAGCCAGCAAAGCTGGCTGAGGAATTCTGGGAATTGAAGTCCACAAGTCTTAAAGTTGCCAAGGTTGAGAACCCCTGGGTTAAATGACTCTCCACTTATTCTGTTTGGATACAGTGGGGTAGGACTTTGGGGGTTCCTTCTCCGCTTCCATTTCTGCTCCCCTTAGTTTTCTAACTTTTCCCTGTCGTTGGAGATTCTGTCAATGTAGTTTACAATAAAGTAGAATTAACTCATCTGGTTGTGATGCCTGATGCTGACAACAATCTTGCAATTCTGAAAGTACAATTCTCCCCTTGACTCCTTTACAGCCTGAGGGAGAGTCTCTTCTGAGACTTACAACTAGGGCAGTGGTCTTCAAACTTGTGGACTTCAACTCCCAGAATTCCTCAGCCAGTGTGCCTGGCTGAGGAATTCTGGGAGTTGAAGTCCACAAATCATAAAAGGGCCAAGTTTGAAGACCCCTGAACTAGGGAGAGTCTCTTCTGAGTTTCTTGTCCCACCCATTATACAGCTGCAGACCATTATACAGCTGCAGTGTCTCTTGTCTCCATCTCACAAGGTCTTTCTCACATACCCTTAGAGGAGTTTCCCCTTTAGCCGTACACTCCTTTTCAGTTTATGCCAGTGGTTCTCAACCTTTTTAATGCTGCGACCCCCCAACCGGTCGTAAGTCGAGGACTACTCAACTGGTGCAGCACCGTTTGCAGAATGGGACTTTTGGCGGGCTCAGCAGGGCAGAGACAGCCTGGACAATTCCTATTGGCTTTTGAAAGCCAATAGAATTAGACTCTATTCAAGAGAGACTCTTCTATTGGCTTTCAAAAGCCAATAGAATAAAAGGGAGTAGCACAGCTAAGGAAAAGGGGGAAAAAATGGCGGACTACGTTGTTTGGCGACCCCCGTGAAATGGTCGTTCGACCCCAAATGGGGTCCTGACCCACAGGTTGAGAAACACTGGTTTATGCCCTTAACTGACTGACTCAATCAAACGAATAAGCGCAGTAAAATTATCTGACTAAAAAATAATTCAGAAGGGGAGAAGTGCTGTTAGAGCATATAACTATCTCCTTCTTTAAGTCTGTTCAGAGCACAAGATGTGTGCTTAGTGGATTTTTACAAGCCTGAAGGGCAACACTGAGCCCATGGTTGTGGACCTGAGCAATGGCCCTTTAAGAAAGTGGGTAAATCTTCCAAGGGGTGGGATTAATCTTCCAAGGGACAGGATGGGATTAATAGCAGCTTCAGCCTTTAGAAGATCTTCCTCTACTTTCCCTGGATGAGCTCCAGTTAACCCTGGTTGCAAAGAATACTTCAACGCCTGACAGAATTGGTTTTATCTTCTTTCCCTGTGATCCTGCAGAACCAGGTGTGACTCTGTCCTTCCATGAGGTTCCTGTACTTTAGACAATAACTCCCTTGACTATTGTGGTTGCAAATAGGACAACAAATTTATCATGGCAGAAGCTACTTGGCAGAGGCTATTACTCAACCTATTTTAAGCAACCTTGAATGGAGGCAAATATATTTGCTCATGGAAAAAAATCAGTTTTCAAAGCTGAGGAGCTACTGGAAAGGAGAGAAATGGTGATCTGGGTCTATATACTTGCTCCTTGTAAGGGGTTCATTGCTCAATTGTAATAGACGTCTGTTGTATGTGCAGTATATCAGTGGTGGGCAATTAATTTTACCAAGCGGCTACATGAGAAACTGGGATGGTTGTGGAGTGCTGAACCAATGTAATCGTATTTGATTTCCCTAAACATCTGAAGCAGCTCCAGGAGAGGAGCAAGCACTGCAAAGGCTCTGTAATGTATTGAGTTGCAATTTTAAGGCATGTGGACTTCAACTCCCAGAATTCCACAGCCAGAAGTCCACATGCCTTAAAATTGTCAAGGTTGAGAAACACTGAGTTAAACTTATGAAGCAGATGGCTGAGGCCTGTGCAGGAAAGTTGCCAGACTTGCTGTCTACAAGGCTGTTTATTATGCCTTTGAGCGGGAGAATACTGTGCTCTCATTGGCTGACGCTGTCCAGAGCTGAATGTATAAATAGGGGCAGAGCAATCCTTGTTAGTTTCTGTTTTGACTTCAATAAAGAAGTACTTGTTTCTATTGCTGCCTCTTCAGTGCTGAACCAAGCAGAAGGCGCAGAAACCCACTTTGTCTCCCCATCCTCCCACAGCCACCAGTTGACTGAAGGAGCCAACTTGGCTTCTTCTTCTGCCCCTGTGGCATGCTTATTTACATGAGACTGCTAATTTCTGACTGACCTCATGCAGGCTATACAGGGACCCCCCCAAAGGGCCATATGTGGCCCGGGGTCTGTAAAATGTCCCGGTTTAGTATATGATCCAAGATTTCAAAACAAATTAATTTCATTAAAACGCTTGAACAATCTTCTACAATTTGACACTTTCTGGAGGTTTGGAATGGAGCACCCAGCCTGCAAATGAGGGATCCTGGGAATTGTAGTTTCATATTCAAAGGGCACCAAGTATTGGGAAATGTTTCTTTTCTAAAATAAACTGTAGAACCATCTTAGCCTCCAGTCTCATTTCTAGGTTCTTGAGACGGCCCAAATTATACTGCCAGTTTTTCTCAGGGTGATTTTTCTTTTTAAAAATCTTTTCATTTAAAGATAAAATATGGAGGCACCTGGTAGGGACTGAAGTTAGTAAAATGGGGAGAAAAAAGGAAAGAATAAAATCCAAGAATTTTGGTCTTATGTTTTTTTGGTTGATGTCATTGCTATATATACAGATTAGGTCCAGATAATGTTAAACCTGGCTAAAAAAAACCCCCACAGTTGTTGTGTTCACATAACACTCTATGTTCCTCCCAAGTTTAACCTTATTATGATTTAAAGCAGTGGCCTACGTCATACAATATGTTAAGAGAATAGTTGGTTTTCCACATCAATGACTTACAAACTAGTTACTCTAATGCAGTATTGTCCAACCTTGATCATTTAAAGATGTGTGGACTTCAATTCCTAATGCTGGCTGGGGAATTCTGGGAGTTGAAGTCCACACATCTTCAAATGATCGAGGTTGGAAAATACTGCATTAGTCTAATGTTGTGTAAATTTAGCCATGCTCCATCTCTCTTTCTCACTTTCTGGGTACATCCAGATGGACTCTCTGAAGAGCAACTGCCACACATTGAGCCAATCATGAATATGTAGGGATGAGCCATCTCGCTCATAAATGTTCACAAATATGTAATGAAGATAATTCAGTAATTATTTCCATTTTTTTCAAGATTTTTTAAAAATATTCTGGGACGTCGAGGGTCCAGAAGATCAAGATGGCTGAAGCTGCTACCTCACGCTTGTGCTTCGCAACTATTCAGTATCAGGTGCCATGAATTCAAGGGGGGCTGGATGGGAGGGGGGGATGCTTCAAAGTAACAAAACTTCACTGTATCTCTCTGAGACGGGCTTCAAGGACAACCGTCTGAGACAGAATGCAGCTGAATGCGAAACCTACGTCTGAAGTAACCGTTCTGAAAACATCTTGCTTGAATTTCATTAGACATGGAGGGGGGGCAGTAATGGGAGGTAACTAAGGGACGGAAAAGTTAGACTTGGGGATTTGGGCATGTGATTCTCACTTTTAGCTATGTGTTACTGAAATTCACTTGACTTCTAGTAAACTACTCCTTTCTCAATAAACAGAGTTAAGGATGGTTCTTACTTAGACTGTTCAAGCTGAGGCAGCTCTGACAATGGCTGCTTTGAGTCTGCAGGACTGGGTGCGATTTTGGGTTTTTTGCCCCCCCCCCCTTCCCTCATAGATGCAGGAATAGGTGTAGTAATATGTTAAACATATATGGATGTGATTGTTTTCTTCCAAGGACAGGCAAACGTAAAAATGAGAGGAATCGCACTTACCGAAAAGGTGTTTTCAAGGGCTATTTGGAGACTCTCATTAGCATTCCTAAGATGGTACCAGGATTGCTTGGATATATAGCGTTGGAATTTGTTCAAGAGAGAAAGCATGCAGGCCAAATAACCTTTATACTTGATCTGGGTCTGCACTTCCTGCACAGGATCCATCTCTGTCCCTTGAGAACATGTTTTCAGATCCACTGAAAGGAGGAAGGCAGTGTAAATAACAGGCTCTAAAAGTAAGAGGAAAGGATACAGGTAGTCCTCAATTTAGAACCATTTGTTTAGTGACCGTTCAAAGTTACAACAGCACCGAGGAAAGTAACCTATAACTGTTTTTCACACTTACAACCGTTGCACTATCTCCGTGGTCACACTATCAAAATTTGGGTGCTTGGCAACTTGCATATGACAGTTGCACCATCCTGGGGTCCTGTGACCCCCATTTGTAACCTTCCCAACTGGCTTCCGACAAGCAAAGTCAATGAAGAAAACCAGATTTATTTAATGAAGGCATGATTCATTTAACAAGTGCAGTGATTTGCTTAATGTGGCAAAAAAAAAAAGATCATGGGGATAAAACTCATTTAACAACAGAAATTTTAGGCTCAATTGTGTTCGTAAGTCGAGGACTCCCTCTTTAGCAAGAACCTTACAAAACTCTTCTCATCTTCCAGTTCTTAAATGAAGGAGAGTTTTGTTGGACTCCATTGTCAGAAGATATGTCCATGTCTTTGGATGGCATTTTATTTATTGTTGCCACTTTATGCCACCTTTGTGGCCCCTGTGTCACAAAGAGTACATCAAGAGACTGGTCATGTTTGGGATAGGATAGGGCAGGTCTTTTTTCTTTCCAATTTCATTCTTACATTTGCCTGATTGCCCCAGGGTAGGTGATTATTATTATCTACACCAGTGGTTCTTAACCTGGGCGATAATGCCCCCCAGGGGGCAATTTTGTTTTTCAAGGGGGCGATGGAACGAAAAGGGGTGACGTGGGGGCAAAGGAACAAAAAGAGGGCGATATGGGGGCGATGGAGTGAGAAGTTTTGGGGACACTTTTGAGATTTTTTCATACAGTGAATTGCTGTATATCTGTCGTACAAAAACATCAGATGATTGCTATTAGTAGATTGAATTGTGTTTTCAAATGTTCCTCCAGCTAGCTTCAGTACAGAACGCCGTACATATGTGAATACGCATCGCTTATCTTCATGCGCATTGCGCAGCAGCCTCTACCCATACAGTGGTGTGCCATTGGCCAGAATATGGGAGATATGGGGAAAAGATTGGAAATAAATTATTTGCATCGATATGTCCTGATCACAGTTTTAAAGAAAACAAAAAAAGTGTTTGCATAAATTGAAGAATTATTTCCTATGTTGTGATTGAGAGGTTATGTTGGGGGAGGGGGGCGATGACAACTTCCTCATTGGCTCAAGGGGGCGATTCGTTCAAAAAGGTTAAGAACCCCTGGTCTACACAACAATGTGAAAACACGACTGCCAGTTCTTTAGCTGGTATTAGCCTTCATTTGCACTGAGTCCTTCCCAAGAACCTGGGATGCTGTAATGTATCAGTGTATTATATGTACAGATCCAAGCAGGATGGCTTTTTGCAACTTTTTAAATGTTGTCAACGTGCAACTTTTCTAAGTATTATTATTATTAAATGATTAATTATTAAATGTATAAGCTGCCCAAATCCCAGTGATGCTTGTAAGGTAGATGAGAAGAATGATAATTATACAAATGAAGGCAAATATACGTGTCCCAGGATAACATTACAAGATCCAATCTGGATCGGTCACCGGGACCAGAGGCTTAGTCTTCCGAGCTTTTGGATTCATGCTGAAGCCCATCCTCAGGGAATTTCTCCTTAGAGAGAAGTTCCCTGAGAATGGGCTCCAGCACAACCCTGAAGCTCGGAAGAGTAAGTCTCTGATCCCGGTAACCGATCCAGATTGGATCTCGAACGATCATCATGTCCAAAGAAACAAATACGTTAACACCTAGTTTGATAACACCTCTTCAAGTGAAATATCTAAAGCAGGGGTGTCAAACTGTCGGCCCACAGGCCGGATGCATCACACCGAAACTGTGCCCACCCCATTGCTGGGAATAGAGAAAAAGTCACGATGCATTGCGACACATCATGTGACATTGCAAGTTTGACACCCCTGATCTAAAGAATTCTAAGGAAAATCAAAACAACTTTGACAGGACTATCATTCTTAGGATGTTGATGACTAACAGATGCAAACTTGGGTATTAAGTTGAAATTGTGGTATTCCTTATTTATGCTGTTCCCAAATAAAAAACAGTAAGTATAATTTAGGAGCTACCTCACTGAACCTTTGTGATATATAAGTTCACCAAACATAAAATCTGCTTGTCAAATGCTTCGGGTTTTCTACCTCATTCTCCGGGTACTTGAGCATTTCTTTTTAATCTCTCTTGGTGGCATTTTCACTTATTGTTAGAGATAGCCCTTTGATTCACTTTACAAATGTGGCAAGAAAAATCACAGAATGGGGTAAAACTCACTTAACAAATTTCTCAGTTAGCAACATGAATTTTAGTCTCAACTGTGGTCATAAGTTGAGGGCTACCTGTAACTGAAAACAAATTCTCTTTCTTCTAAGTGAAAAAAAAATGCAAGAAATTTTTTCCGCATAGTAAGAACATTTGCTGTGACAACACTGTTCAGCGTTACCATTCAACCTTTGTTTAACAATCTCTAAAGCAGGGGTCTTAAAACTTGGCCCTTTTATGACTTGTGGACTTCAACTCCCAGAATTCCTCAGCCAGTCATGCTGGCTGAAGAATTCTGGGAGCTGAAGTCTACAAGACATAAAAGGGCCAGGTTTGAAGACCCTTGCTCTAAAGAATCAGAAGAATGTCTTTTTACAGCATGTGTCCCACCACTGAAAATCTTGTCCTCTTTTGGTGGTGCTTCCTCATTTGCCCAAATTATTAACATGGAGAACCATTCTAAGATATATGCTTAGGCTTTCTAGTAGGCTCTTACTCAGATCTTCATCACTGATAAGAAGGTAGTGATCTATAAATGCATGGGACCGGCCCAGCACGGTTTCCACACTGTTCTTGGCCATCTTTCCCATTCTTGTTCCCATCACCACAGTCATGCTGCTGCTCACAAGGGAGGCCGTGGTTTTCACGCCATTCTGAACCACATCTTTGGTCATGCCAACCATCCCTGACAGCCTGCGAGTCACAGCATTCTTGGCATCAGTGACTTTAGAAGTCATCAGTTCTTTTGTCCCAGACACAACCTGTAGGAGACAGAGTAGACGTCATTTTGGATTAAGCTGTCTTTATCACCTCAGGAGGTAGGACTTGCATTTAAGTGTGATTCACAGAATGATGTCCACTTTGATTCTTTTTAAACTGTACAACTCCAATTCCCGGGCATCTGTTGGGGAGAGTGTAAATGTAGGCAAGATGGCAGCTGTGATCTCCCAGTAATGGCTGCCATCTTGATTTTTAAAACAAAAACAAAAACCAAATGTCCTGCTATGGATGCCCTTCGTCCACTTTGTGCAGCAAAGGGGGGAGATAAAGCTGCACAGAAGATGAAATTTTAGAATCTATAGCTTAATATGCAAAGATGAGACCAGATATCCCAATGTTATTTATTTAAAATCCCCATCTCCTTCTACACAGAATATAAAAGGGATGGAATTGTTTTTCTTTGCAATTGGTTGCCTTCTCTCTCACTCTATTAAAAAAATCTTTCATTTTTTTTAATATTTCAAGGATTTTTTAAAAAATGTTTGTTCACTAACTGCCCAGAAAATTTAGTGTCAGTTGGCAAGATAGACAGATAGATATAGATTTTAAATCTTGAGCCTGTTATTGTCTTAGCCAGCCTACCTCCTGAGTGAAGAAAGCTGAGCTATATGTGCAATAATATTTTTCTTTTACAAGAGGTAAGTAACAAAGGAAGTGCGTAGCTCAGCAAAGCATAGAATATACTTCTACCATGTCTCTGCTGTTTCTGGTTCATGCAGTCATTCACGCTGTAAGTTGCTCTGAACAAACTGATCTGAAACTGTAAATAATCTTCATTGAACTAGTGTTAAATACTAGGCTTCACCTACTGTTATTTAAAATGGTCTTTACAGAAACACAAGATATTATCTAAAGTAGCCTTTCATACCTTTGTGCTTTCGAATATGCTGAAGTAGAACCTACCTGGAAGACTCAGGCTATGGAAGGCTAATCTAATGTCTCATCCATCCATCCATCCATCCATCCATTATACATACATACCTACCTACCTGCATTCATACATACATATGGACCATCTGACTCCAAAATAACTCTGAGCTATCATTTAGCATGGCATACTAAAACTAGAGTTGGGCCAAAATTGGTTTATGCTTTCTTCCTTCATACCAAGATATTTTTTAAAGTTAAAAAAGCTACCTGATCAGCTCTCTGTTGAAGAATTGGCACCTTCTGTTCCATTGTATCCAGGCCACGACATACATACTTGTTTGCTGTTGCAACTAATGAAAGACAAGAAAAAGGTAGTGATTTATGGCAGGGAAAAGGTCGGGGAAGATGTATACTAAATATGGGTTTCTTACTTTCTTCCATAAAATAATTGACTTAATAAATATATGTAGCTAAATTGTAAAACAGATGAAATATCTCTTTCTGCATTTCTGGTATCCTTTATAACTTGCCCAGTTACTGCCTGGCTCCTGATTTGAAGCCACAAATCTTAAAAATTGCCACCTGATTCTAGTTAATCCAGAACAAAATTGTGTGCATAAATGCCAAAGGAGCTTAACTTGATTATAATGCTGAAAGCAAGATCATTGTACAAAGAAGGATATGTGGTTGAATTGTTCAGTAACTGTTTTATATTGTGAATTTGAACTAAAGCAAAGATAGGCGTCAAAAGATCCAAATGTTCTAAGTTTCATTTCAAACTTGGCCATAAGGCCTTCATAAGGGGATTTTCCATTTGTACATACATGCTCAAAAAAACAGGAATGGGCTCAAAATAGCTAAGGCGAGCTTTGAAGAACCATTGATTCCTCAAATCTCTGAGTAATGGATTCCTGGAAACTCTGAGGTTTGCACAGGACATGTATTTAAGGGGAAGAAAGAAATTCTACCTCATTCAACTTTCTTAGTAAGCCGGCTATTATTTCTCGAGGAATTTTACACAGTCAATTATATTGTAGAGCTATACAATTGGACATGCATTGAAAATGATTTGGAAGAAGTGCTTTAGATCTCACGCAAGCACAGGACCTCCATGGGGTTCATTAAAGCAGCCCAGTGTTTTGCAATCTTCTATGCGATATGAAGAATAATACTGCTGCTTTAAAGCACCCGCTCATTGAAGTTAACTCTTAATCTAGGCTCTTCTTTTTTAGACTCACGTGAATGCCAGAAAAGAAGTTGAGTTTCTTTAATAAAATCATTTTAAAGCACGCACAGCCCTACTTTATCAGTTATCTTTGAGAAAACACTGTGTGTTGAAATAATGGTTCCTCACATCCTGTATATTCAGAAAAAAAATCCAAGCTTATAAATGATTCTAACAATGATGTTTGGATCTGGAAAAGGAATCTTCAGGTTGATTTGTAAATTATTGGATAGTGAATCATACCATGGTTTGTTGGTTTGCTTGCCCATTCCTACAGCCTTAGCTAAAGGACAATGGAACACATAAAGGGAACTGCTACTAGCTATTCTACAAAGCTTTGGATCCAAGACATTCCCATTTCATCTGGGAGCTATAAGGGATGAACCTGGAATCTTATAACAGTAAATTTGGTGGGCCTCTATGGTTCCCACCTTATGGGATATTCTATGGAACCTGCTACGGTTCCCACCTTATGGGATATTCTTCACCTTGAAATGGGGTTGGTTTCTTCTCTTCTAAATTTTTGAAGGTTCCTCAAGACCTGGTTGTGCCACCAGGACTGGAGACCCAGGGGACTGGTGAAATATTGAGGTGACTCCAGTCAGTGGTGGTATTCAAATATGTGAACAACCGGTTCTCTGTGTGGATGCTGCTTCTGGAAGTCCATTCTGGGCCTGGACAACAAAAAAATAGCTACCAGTTCAGTTCTACTAAAGTGGTGCGAACTGGCTGAATCTCACCACTGATTCCAGTGTAATAAATGCCTATTAACTTTTCTTTTTTGCTTTTGTCTTTTATATAGTAATAGTAATAGTAGTAAAGTTGGAAGGGACCTTGGAAGTCATCTAGTCCAACCCCCTGCTCGGGCAGGAAACCCTACACCATTTCGGACAAATGGCTGTCCAGTCTCTTCTTAAAAACTTCCAGTGTTGGAGCATTTACTGTTTCTGGAGGCAAGCTGTTCCACTGATTAATTGTTCTCACTGATTATGGTTTTAATAATTACTGTTTTCTGCTTTGTTGTACACTGCCAAGAATCTCTTGTTTGTGAGATGGGCAGGCACAGAAATATGACAAATAAATACATAAATAAGTAAATTTTGCTCTCTTTTGTGACCATCCAGAAACCACAATTGAATATTACAGTTTGAATTCTTCCTGAAATTCTTCTTACATTCTGTAGATCTCTTTGTAGAAGAACAGAACAAAACAGAATAGAATAGAGCTGGAAGGGACCTTGGAGGTCTTCTAGTCCAGCCCCCCGCTCAAGCAGGAGAACCTATACCATGTCAGAAAAGTGACTGTCCAGTCTCTTCCTAAAAATCTCCAGTGATGGAGCACCCACAATTTCTGAGGGTAAGCTGTTCCACTGGTTAATTGTCCTCACTGTTAGGAACTTTCTCCTTAATTCCAGGTTGCTTCTCTCTTTGATCAGTTTCCAACCATTGTTTCTTGTCCTGTCCTCTGGTGCTTTGGTGAATAACGTGACCCCCCTCTTCTTTGTGGTAGCCCCTCAAATACTGGAATACTGCTATCATGTCTCCCCTATTTCTTCTTTTCTTTAGACTAGGCAAACCCAACTCCTGCAACCATTCTTCATATGTTTTAATCTTCAGGCCTTGGATCATCTTAGTTGCTCTTCTCTGAACTTTTTCCAATGCCTCAACATCTTTTTTTGTAATATGACAACCAAAACTGGTTGCAGTATTCTAGGTGTGGTCTCACTAGGGTTTTATAAAGCGGTACTAATACTTCGTGTGATTCTATGCCTCTGTATATGCAACCCAGGATTGTGTTAGCTTTTTTGGCTGCTGCTGCACATTGTTGTCTCATAGTCAAATGATCATCCACTAGGACTCCAAGGTCCCTCTCACAGTTACTGTTTTTGAGCCAGGTCTCACCTAATCTGTACTTATATCTCGGATTTTTCCTGCCTAAATGTAAAACTTTGCTTTTCTCCACATTAAAACTTATTTTGTTGGATAGGATGATAGCTATTCAGAATGGTGATTTGATTTATGCCACCAGAGTTTTTAAAAAATAGCAGGAGGAGAACACTTTCTTCACCCAAAGCTTCAAGGCAGGATGCCGGGAAATTTATTAACCATTTTGTTTTTGGTACATCACTTAACTTTACTGGCAGTTTTATGATATTGCAGAGTGTCTACGCTCCATATACAGGGAAGGGTGTTTGACTTTTATGAGAAATTATTGGGTGACTTGCCCCAAAATGATCCCTTTCCATTCTTCAATTAATTCCAAAGCACCCCATTTCATACCCATAAACATACCAAATTTTCTGTTATAATTTTACTCACGTTGAGGTTCAAGACTGTTCAGAAGCGGTTGTGCCCGGCTAACAGCAGCACCTGTGAGAGTCTTCATGCCTTTCTCTGCCCCATCGCACACTGTCTGAAGGTAGGAATTTTTTCGCTTAATGGAGGTGTAGTTTGAAGAAACCAAGTCACAGACGGAGCAAACCAAGGGCAGACTGCTAACTCTCTTCAAGATATTCTGATATTGAAAACCAAGAGAAACCACGTCACTGATGCATTCTTGATTGATCAAGAACCAGTGTTGACAAATGGAATAAAAGCCATGCCATTTTCCTGAGTCTTGGGGACTCAGTGGTTAAGATGCTGGGCTTGGCGGCTGGAAAGCCAGCTGCCCAAGTTAGAGACCTGAGCGCCATGAAACGGAGTAAGCCCCTGTCCTTGCACCAGCTCCTGCCACTGCTAGGAGTGGATGTGAGTGGATAAATAGGTACCACTCTGGCGGGAAGGTAATAGTGCTCCGTGACGTCATGATGACCACATGACCACGGAAATGTCTTTGGATGGCACTGGCTCAAGGGCCTTGAAACAGAGATGGGCACCACCCCCTACAGTTGGCAATGACTAGCGCACAGGTCAGCAACCCACGGCTCCAGAGCTGCATGTGGCTCTTTGAGCCTTCTCCTGCAGCTTCCAGCCTCCTCCACCATTTGCAGAGAGACAGAGACAGAGACAGAGACAGAGAGAGGCACCTGCACTTCCCTTCTCACTCTCTCATGCACAGAAGCCTCTATTTCCTTTTAATTAAACTCTTCAATCAAGCTCCCCCCCTTGCACGTGCGCGCACGTGCACGTTTTGCGGCTCCCAGTGTTTTCTTTTCTCTGGGAAATGGGTCCAAATGGCTCTTTGAGTGTTTAAGGTTGCCAACCCCTAGCGGAATAAAATCTGCAGGGACTCCTTTACCATTTTACCATTTTCCTTATTAAATCCCTCATCCACAGGAATTATGTTTTGTCTTTAAGGAATAAATGTCCAGCTACTGTACGTTTGTTTCCATAGAAAAAACAACAGATCCATGGGCATGTGTGACTGATCAAAACAGAGACAGAAGTATGTGATATATTCTGGGATATTTTTTTAATGCAAAAAAAATCACACTTATTTCCTCTAATTTGGTCCCATGTCAATCTTTTCAGAAATTAAAAATTATCTTGTAATTAACACACATAGTTTCTTGGACACAGGTTTGTGGGAAAATAAATAAAATCAAATTATTATAAATTAGGATATGCATTAATTTCACATCATTAGGGATTGCTTCTAGTAATCTTTCCTTCATTTGATTTTTTTTCTTTAAAGATGAAGCTCCTATGCAATCCACTGAGTGTTTAAAAACAATCCGGCTATGAAGACTTAAATCAGATTCTTGTTGAACACTGCCCTATCTCCCTATCATGTTTTAAGGAAATGTAGCTGAATGCTCTATTCTTCCAGCACCCTTTTTTCCTGTCACTTTTCTTAAATCTCTTTGCAGCATATGATAACAATTTGAATGAAATGAAAGAAGACGTAAGGTCAAACTTTCCTTCCTTGGACTATGTTGGAAATGTCTCACATATCAAAAAAACAAAATATAACTTCTGCCCTTGACAAGAAAGAGCTACCTCCTCTTCAAGGCTTTCGTCAGAGGTCTCTGAAGACATGGCATTTTGGTCTGGTTTCATGGAAGACATGGTGGTTTCTCTGGTCACTGGAAAGGAAGATAAATTGTTATCTAAAATGACAAGTAAGGATCATATAATAGCAGCCAATTGGTCCAAAGGCAGCAGACAAATGTCACCTTCTCCGTCTAATGATGAAAAATCCATCCATACATTTTCACTCAAACCATGAAATGTACTGGCTGACTTTGAATTGTTCATTACAACTTATCCTGAACCGACTTAGGAGGCCTTTCTAAACACAGAATGAGAAAACAAAGTATACTGCATTGAGTCTCTTGCAGGAATAGTAAGACATAAACATAGCAAATTAATCAATAATGAAAAAAAAATTTGAATAGCTGTGCCTTTTCATTTATGGAAATTCTTCCAAAGTTGAAAATAAAATATTTCTGGCACTGCTGAAGATATGGACAGATGAAGCTTTGCTCGCTTCTGTGGCCCAGTTCCTAATGGGCTGCAGCCCGGTACCTGACTGTAGCTCAGAGGTTGGGGACCCCTGCTCTAAGTGATCCTTTGTAGGAGAAGAGAAGGAGGAGCTGGGGGGGCAAAGTTAAATGGATTAATATCAGGCGCAAAAATCAGGATAACCATTAGACTGCAGCATAAAAAATTTATTCAACTCTATACACAAGAATCTGGCCAATTAAAGTTTAACACTATATTGGTTGGAGCACTTGTGGGAATGCAAGGACTCTAAGTTGATGATGCCCGTTCCAGCTCTGTCCAGCTCTGCCTGCTCCTACACCCTTTTTGATATTAGTGGGTTTGCTTGCTAAGTGGTGAGAGCCCTAGACATCCATTTCAGTTTCTCACAATGGAGTAGTATAGCCCTCAAGAACCAGCAGTGTTTAAACTCAGCAATGAAGCCCTTATTCCCCAGTCTAGAATTGGGAGAACTTTGATTTACTCCAGTAAGCTTAATCGTCACACTTAACAACTCACAGTGTTAACATTTTGGAATGTTTCCCATTGGCAAGGGCTTTATTGGCTCTCAGGATGATACGTCCTGTGACATGTTTCCAAACTTTATCCCCAGAGTGTACTAGGCTGGGTTGAAGTAAGACAACACTATTTTGTCATGGGCTAATCAGTGTCAAGTGGAGAAAACCACCAATAGGACAAGCTATGGAATTTCCATTGTTTCTTCAGTATGATAAGCACTCAAGCAGGACATGTTTTCAACCAATCAGACTACATATGTAAATTGATATCATTATGAGTTCTTCCTCAAATGGTTACAGCAGAAGTTCAGTCTATACTTTTATTCCCATTGTTTGGGAAACAAACCTCTGTGAATCCAATAGAACATGCATAAAATCAGGGCTTGAAAGCCATAAAATCTTGACTCTCTTAAAGAAAATTTATGGCTATCCTTTCAAGGCAATGACTGCTGGATGAACAGTTTTAGTAGCTCTAAACATTGATGGCCAACATGCTCAGTACATTTTTCTCCATCAAATCCATAATCACTATTTTAAAGAAAGATGTTAGGGAGTAGATCGTTCTAATCTAAGCAAAGGAACCTAAATCTTTAACAGTTGTGTTCCAGGGTCACAATGGAAATATTAGTGCACATTAATTTCCCGATTTCCTAAAGCAGGGGTCTCTAAACCTGGTGACTTTAAGACTTGTGGACTTCAGCTCCCAGAATTCCCCAGCATGACCGGCTGAGAAATTCTGGGAGTTGAAGCCCACAAGTCTTAAAGTTGCCAAGTTTGGTGAACCCTGTCCCAAGGTGATACCTTGAACAAAAAGACTCCAATTTTGTAGTTAAAAGTGCATGATACGATCTTGTTGTGTGCAGAAGTATCTTTGCACTTATAAAATTGTAAGTGGGATTGCAAATGAGATGTACTATCCAAAAAAGTTGAATTAAAAAGGGTACAGAGCGCCCTGGAAAACTATATCTACTCAATTGTCTTTAGAAATAATAGAATTCACAGCATGATCCAACTGAGCTGAATACTGAGTGCTTGCATGAAAAGGCTGGATTACAATTCCAAGAATTTCCACCCAAAGTAATCTATAGGACTGTAAACTATCTTTTTGTTTGGAAAGATAAGGATGTGGTGATTTTCCTTTTCTCAACTCGGGATTTAAATTTCTGGGGGGGGGGGAAATAACCTGCTGTGAGTCTTTAGCTCAGTGGTTCTCAACCTGTGGGTCGGGACCCCATTTGGGGTTGAACGATCATTTCACGGGGGTCGCCAAACAACGCAGTCCACCATTTTTTCCCCTTTTCCTTAGCTGTTCTACTCCTTTTTATTCTATTGGCTTTTGAAAGCCAATAGAATTAGACTCTCTTGAATAGAGTCTAATTCTATTGGCTTTCAAAAGCCAATAGGAATTGTCCAGGCTGTCTCTGCCCCGCTGAGCCCACTAAAAGTCCCATTCTGCAAATGGTGCTGCACCAGTTGAGTAGTCCTCGACTTACGACCGGTTGAGTAGTCCTCGATTTACAACCGGTTGGGGGTCGCGGCATTAAAAAGGTTGAGACCACTGCTTTAGCTCCACAAACCGAACTGATATGTTTTTGCTGCATATGGCAGGAGAAACACCACAAATACTGCCTTATACATGTCATACGTGGTTTTTGTATTTACTGCTTGTAGGAATTTTGAATTGTATATGCATCTCACTTCTGTCTCTTTCTGTGTACAGTATATTAGAAGGGAATGTTGTATTTAAGGTCTGTAAGACACTAGCATTTGCTCCTCCTTGATTTATTTGATCCTGCTGTTCTTCTCGTGAATTTAGAGTTCTTTACATGTTTTCCTTCTGCTTTTTTAAAAAATGTTTATAAAAAAGGTGTTAGACTTATTTGTGAGAGATACACTGCCCAGTCCATCACAACAGGTTGAAATTGGAGGCCCAGCTAAGTTGCTGTCCCTAGTTAATCTTGTCTGATATCAAAAAAGCTAATCAAGTTAGCCATCAGAAGATCCCAAGACTGAAAATTAAAATAGGAACACCCCAGAAGGAGGCAGTGTCTAACCATGCCTGTATTGTTGCTAAGAAAATGACACCGATACATCATCAAGAGTAAAGCGTGATTCCAGAGAGACTTTACTTTTTAAAATAATAACAGATGTGGCTTCCTAATGCAAGGAAATATATTCTGCTCGTGTCCACCTTATTCTTATACCCATTCCTGCAAAACAGGCCAAATCTAAGCAAAGTTGGTTTAAAGAAGGTCTTGTTTACAGGAGCAACATTATATTAAGCACTTATTGCTAGTGAAATGAGGTTAAACTCTTTTATAGCTCTTTCAGTGCAATCTTTGCTTCTAAACCCATTGTGGTCTTTGAAAATAGTCCTTGGATGCTAAGTGATGTGCAGTGTATTTCTGAGGAGAGTGCCAGATATATATTGCCAAGCTTATTAAAGGTCATGAACAATGCCGTTTGCATAATTATATCATTTCAGAACTAAGAGAAGGATGAATCATCTATTTCCCACAGAGACATGAGAAAACAGCTTGATATTCACCTCAGAACTCCCTCATATTAATATGCAAGGTAATGGTGCATCTGTTCACGTGTCCATTGAGAGGGCCCTGAACATATTTCTTCATTATTGCATTCAAATGATACCACTGACATTTGTCTACCATTTTCTCTCACTTGTTTTGATACCCAATAGTTTACCTAATGTCCTGGGAGGGGTGAGTAATCATGCCTCTATTAAAAACTGGCAAATGGAAGTAGACAAAACTTCCCGTGAATGGGGAATTGGCTTGTTCCTAAGTTTTGTGGAGTTCTAGCATTGCAAATCATAAAATGGCTGCAAGAAAATCACCTCAGCCAATATTCTAAGGAAAAGAACATTGTGAAAATGAAACAACACAGAGGAGTGAATGCCACATCAAGCGCTTCAGGAATAGTGTCTCCCGGTGGAATTTAAAAGGCATCTGAAAGGCTTTCGAATTGATTGGGAATCAGGTGGTTTTGTGACACCATCAAAGCTCAATTTCAAAATCATTTTTTGCTACAGAAGTAATTTGGTGCAATCATGAATTCTGGATTGTTTTTTTTTAAATGATCCAGAAAATAAATTCCTTTTATTAGTAGATTTTTAGTTATTATTAGATGGTTTCCAGCTTTGCATGACTTGTGAACCTCCTAGAACAGTGGTTCTCAACCTGTGGGTCGGGACCCCATTTGGGGTCGAACGACCATTTCACGGGGGTCGCCAAACAAGGCTGTCCGCCATTTTTTCCCTCTTTTCTTTGGCCACGCCCCTGGCACCCAATGATGTATAAGTGGTTGGGGGTCACCACAACATGGGGAACTGTATTATGGGGTCACGGCATTAGAAAGGTTGAGAACCACTGTCTTAGAAAGATATAGTTGGCTATAGGTAGAGCGGGGGCATTAGGGAGAGATGAAGTTGGGGGCAGTTCTTATGATATTATTTGTTTATGTAAGCTAGGAGTCATATTTAGGAATCATACTTAGGATCTCAGCCTGATAATACAGGGTGTCATCCCAAAGTTATTTCAATGGGCCAATAATTTTGGAGGATGAGTGGGCACATTTGAAAGACTGAGGCAACACTTGGAACTCTGATGTTGCACACATTTCTGTCCTCCCTGTAAAAACATAATATGTTCCTAAAAAATTTGGGAGTAGGCCCAGCTGAATGTAATATTGGGCAAGGAAGGGGGCAGAACAGTCAGAATCTTATAAATGCAATCCAATGCTGTTTACTCAGATGTAAATCCTACAATCTCCATTAAGATGTACTCCCAGGAAGAGGTGTATAGTAGCCTCCTGTGGGAGTGACTTTGGGATACTGGGCCCAAAAATGCTGTCTAGGGCAGTGGTTCTCAACCTGTCGGTCGGGACCCCATTTGGGGTCGAACGACCATTTCACGGGGGTCGCCAAACAATGCAGTCCCCCATTTTTCCCCCTTTTCCTTAGCTGTGCTACTCCCTTTTATTCTATTGGCTTTTGAAAGCCAATAGAATAGACTCTCTTGAATAGAGTCTAATTCTATTGGCTTTCAAAAGCCAATAGGAATTGTCCAGGCTGTCTCTGCCCTGCTGAGCACGCCAAACGTCCCATTCTACAAATGGTGCAGCATCAGTTGAATAGTCCTCGACTTACGACCGGTTGAGTAGTCCTTGACTTACGACCGATTGGGGGTTGCGGCATTAAAAAGGTTGAGAACCTCTGGCCTAGGGAATGGTTAGATAAGAGACAGCTTAGTCCACAGCTGGATAATGGGCCAGGCAAGAGGCTCAGATGACACCCTCCCTAATTTTTCAGGGTGTAAAGGGTGTAAGGGAAGAATTGCACTTCAGATTTGCAAGATCCTGGTAATGTAGCTTTACAATAAAGTAGCATTAACACATCTGGTCTTGTTTCCTATCTGATCTACCTGTTAAGCTTGGCAGTTCCAGATCAGCATTTCTCAAACTTGTCAACTTTAAGATGTGTGGACATCAACTCCCAGATTCCCCAGCCAGCATGAGTTGATATAAATAAATTTTAAAGTTGACAAGTTTGAAAAAAACATTGCTGCAAACTGATTGAGATGGCCTCTTCCAAAATTACCAGTCAAGGGGGCTTTGGGCTAAAAATTCAACATATTACAATCTCAATACATTCGGAGGCAGCAGGGTTAAGAATAATTCACATATTGCTGTGACAGTTGCATCTAAGAATAAACAGAAATATTTTCACTGACATTTGTTTATCATGCATGAGTATGGGTGTGATTCTTTGAAATATTTTTTACTCAAGCCTCACAAAGAAAAACCTCTAAGGCACCTAAAAAAATTCAAAATAATCGTAATGAAAAATACAGAAAAGTAGAGCAGTTAAGCAAGTAAAATGTTAAAAGCAACAGAATAGGAATTATTAATTTTCTAAGCCTAGTTTTCACCAAGTGCCTTAAGATCAGTCAGTTGGGAATTCACAAAATATTCCACAGCATCACAAGTGAGAACACTGATTCTGGGCCATTAGCAACTACAGGTGTGATGACATCACATGGAAGTTTTTAAGAAGAGACTGGACGGCCATTTGTCTGAAATGGTATAGGGTTTCCTGCCTGAGCAGGGGGTTGGACTAGAAGACCTCCAAGGTCCCTTTCAACTTTATTACTACTACTACTACTACTACTACTACTACTACTACTATTATTATGGATCATCGCACAGTCAGCCAGATGTTCAGACTGGATTTGGCATTTTGTCTACCTAACGAGTCCTTACCCAGGACCTGGGATAGGCAGATGTGGATGTTTGATGGTATTACAGATATCTTCGCAGGATGGAAGCAGTTCCTAGTAAGGCCGCTTTTTGCAATTGACTAATAGCGAATTTGTCAATGCCAATAGTGTTCAAGTGGTGCTCCAGTTGTTTTGGGATTGCATCCAAGGAGCCTATCACTATTGGTACTACCCTTGCTTGCTTTTGCCACAGTCTTTCTATTTCTATTTGTAGGTCTTTGTATTTTGTTGTTGTTGTTGTTGTTGTTATTGTTATTATTATTATTATTATATCACCTACCTGATGGGGAGCTATTGGAGAAAGCAAACTTCTCAGGTGCAATCATCATAGCAAAGGCTCTACGCAGTTTATATAACGTTGATTCTAGAAATAAAGATTGTAAAAAGGAAAAATAGGTTACACAACTCCTCCCAACTATTTTATACAAAAGCCTTTGCAAATAGCTTATACCTTTTAAACATCTAAAAAGAACTAAGCTCTTGAGATTTTTTTGTTGGTCCTCTTGATCTTCTTTTGGGAAAAAAGGCATTGATGAAAAAAATCAGAAGAACCTCAGAACATCTTCACTTGAAAAAAATGCTTTATTGGGCCAGAGCAGAGTGAAAACTGCGATCTAAAAGTTTGATAGTTATTAGGTCAAGTCAATTGATGAATCTGGTCAAAATCTAGTACCCTCATAGTGGTTGACTAATGCAAGTCTTGTATTTATTTGATGGCCAAGTGAGAAATTGACTTGATCTTCTCACTGGTTATATCATTCCAGAAGAATTAACCTGGAGTCGAGAGCAGTCTTAATGATTGCTTTAACATTAACAGAGGGATAGAATCAAGATCATGTCAAGGGTTAGTACTACTTTATAATGCCTTGGTAAGACCAGGGCTTTTTTTATCATAGAATGCCCAGAACGGAGTTCCGGCACCTTTTTTGGATGGAACCTTGTAGGGTAGGCAAGGCGGGTTGTATGACGTGTGTGAGTTCCGACACTTTTTTTTTAACACAAAAAAAGCACTGGGTAAGACCACACTTGAAGTATGACATCCAGTTTTAGTCACTACTGTATAAGAAAGATATTGAGATTTAGAGTGCAGAGAGGAGCAACAAAAATAATTAGGGACTGTAGGCTATGCAGTATGGTTGAAGGAACTGGGTTTTTGTCTAGAAAAGAAGGACAAGGGGTGACATGATAGCAGTGTTCCCATATCTAAGGGGTTGCCACAAAGAAGAGGGGATCAATCTATCCTTCAAAGCACCTGAAGGCAGAACAAGAAGCAATGGATACTAATCAAGGAGAGAAGCCACCTAGAACTAAGGACAAATTTCCGGACAGAACAATCAGTGGAACGGCTTGCCTTCAGAAGTTGTAGGTGCTCCATCACTGGCAGTTTTTAAGAAGAGATTGGACAACCCATTGTCTAGAATGGTATAAGGTCTCCTGCTTGAGCAAGGGCTTGGATTAAAAAACCTTCATGGTCCCTTCCAACCCTCTTATCCAGTTATTCTGCTTTCAAGGGCAAATTATTAAGGGACAAAAATAATGAGGCTTACAAGTTATGTAGGATGGGTACCCAGCAACAGAAATACAAATCCCGTCTCACTTTTTTTCCAAAACCTCTGTAACTTCAGGGAGGGGCGTCTCTCCTTTTCTGGCCCCCGAAGTGGCATTTCCCCTGCACAGAGAAGAGGAAGCTCTATGGTCAATAGAATTCTAAGCCCGCCCACTTCTTTCCTACCTCCTCACCTGAACGCATCAACAATGCCCTGGTTGCTGTTTAGAATATTGGCAATATTCTCTGGAAGGCCTTCAAAACTTTTCCCTCGAAGGATCCTCCATTGACGTGACCCTGAAATGCTACTGCCAGCACTTCAAAAACAGACATTTTATGGCTGACTGAAAAAAAAAATCATAAAGAACAATAAGACCATCCACCTTACTCTAAATCAAGTGATAGGGTGGGGCTTAAAACATTTTGGTACATTAAAAACAAAACCATCCCCTTTGTTCTTCTTTGAGGAAAATAACATGGGAAAAATTGAGGAAGGCAAGTTACCAACTTTAAAGAATACTTATGTTGTGTGTCTTTCTAACGTGGCATTCGATAGTAACACAGAGTGTTCTGCCTTTTATGGATTTAAGCAGAAAATTGTCCTTGATGAAAACAGCTAGCAAATCTGAATGAATGTGCATCTGTTTGAATGAAGCTTCTCATTGGTGGTTCCTCCTCATTCATGTAATAGCTTCAGGCACAAAAAATCAGGACCACACAATGAATTCTAGTTAAGCTGATTTATTGCTCATGTCTATATCCAAGAATCTAGTCAACTGAGATCAGCAATGAATTGGAGCTAGGTAAAAGTCAACAGAATTCAAGAGGGGTGGGACTTAGACCTTTTCTGAGAATGTAATGACTCCAGGCTGATTGCTCTCTTGACTCCGCCCCCAGGCTCTGTTTGTCTTTCTCCTACGCTTTCCCATGCAAGTTATTGTAAGTGCTGAATCCATTCCTCTTGAATTTTCCAAAGTTTTGTGTGGACATAAAAGGTTAAAAACAGTGGTGTAGAAATAAAACTCTATGTCCTCCAATAAAAGTGTTTGACATTTAGAGACTGAGGAAGTGCAAATATTCCATTCATCCACTTATGCTTAGCACACACTTTCCCATACTCAATAGATGAGCAATATTGTTTAGAGGTAGCTGTTGCGACTATTATTGCCATCATTAATTCTAAAGCACAGCCCTGATATGAAAACCTGCTCCTTAAAACCTTTGTCTGGGATTGGTTTTGACATTAATTCTACATTTTAAAAATGACCCATGAGCTTCTCTCAGATCAATAATGTTTTGAGCCAGAAAAGTATTGATCAGTGCCGTTATCAAGACTAGCTGAGACATTTTTGTTTTTTGAGGCTCATTCTTCAACCTACATGGAGCTGTGAGTCATCCACTTTAGATTTCCAAGCGGCGGGGGAAGGGCGGACAGAAAGGAGAAACAAAAGGCCTTGAAGGAATCTCAGGAGAGAAATACAGAGAATCAATTTTTTCTTGGGGAGTGAAAATAATAAAAGGAATCAGGCATAATTGCAAGCAGCAATTTCTTCCTCTTTACTCATATCATTTATACAGCTGTGTATAGCAAAATGCAATGAAGATTGTAACCAGATCTTCCAAATAAGCTATTGAACTACATTTTTTCTTCAAAATTATGACAGTATAATTTTGGGGATGAATTTTACATTGTTCTTAGCTTATATTTTTTTCCCTGCCTCTGCTACTTATCTCTTTTTATTCATTTTGTTCCCGCACAGGGATGGGAGAGTTTATTTATTTATTTAGAGATTTCTGTATCTTGCTGCTGTCTGACTTATTTGAGCTTCTCACAGCTACATCATAACCAGATAAGCTAACGTCCAGAAGATTGTTGCTTGGTTTAGGTGACTTTAAACACTGACAATTCTATCTCCCTCTCTCTCTCAAAAAAAAGAAATGATAATGTTTGACAATATAAAAGCTATCGCATTGTATGAGGATATATTGACAGTATGTTGGACAACCAGATCTGGTCCACAAAAATTTGGATGCGCTTTAGATGGCTGAAAAGCTTCAAAGCCTTACATCAAAAACATTTTGGAAACAGTAGAACGCAGCTTCCGAGATCTGCAATGCCTAGAGGCTACCATACGAGGACAAATTATGCATTGTAAAGATCGCTTGGAAGTGGGAGATACTTCCAATGTAATCTACCGGATCCCCTGCATGGATTGCCCCCATGACTATGTAGGACAGATGGGGAGGAAGCTAACCATCAGATTGCAAGAACACAAGCGAGCAGTCAGATGAGGAGATCCAAACTCATTGGTAGCCTCATATTGCAATAAACAAGGACATAATTCAATTTTGCAATTACTAAGATTGTTAGACAAGCAGGCACAAAAACAGCCAGGGAAGTGATTGAAGTCTAGGAAACACGCCTCTTGTCAACCAACAGGAGTGCTGATTTGCCACCAGCTTATCAAAGGAGGTGAAGTCTTGGCAGCACAGGAAAACAACAGCCAATGGCTTAATAGCGTAATCAACACCCCAATCAACATCTAAAAAGCCACACACAAGAAGCACCATGTAAATACCACACAGAGAATAGCCCAAAGCTCACATTCTGTTAGAAGTTCGCTGAGGATAGGTGACCGACCCAGATTGAATCCTGCAAGCCTTAGTTCTTTTCTACATCTCTCTATGCCAGAGGTGTCAAATTCGCCGCATCACATGATGTGTCATGATGTATCGTGACTTTTTCCCCCTTGCTGGATCTGGGGTGGGCACGGCTTCCACGTGAAGCATCTGGCCTGCAGGCCGGCAGTTTAACACCCCTACTCTATGCTATCTAATGGATTCTGGATTTTTGCAGACCTACTCTCAGACTGGGATTACTTTATATATTTTATTGCTGCAAATATGAGGCTGCCTGCATGTTGCAAGTGATCACATTTACTCTATGAATCAAGTACTTGGAATTGATACATAATCAGGAACATCCATAGAGAGGTAATGAAAGTCAAGTGTTGGTAGCCATGACTGCATAATGGAAACCATGGCCCTTTTATTGTGCAGTTACATGTGAGATAGAAGCAGGATCACCTCATGCAATTGTCTCTTCATCTTGACTTTTCTGGCCTTACAAATGCCTGCATCCATAATATTTTTAAAAAATATGTGTACAGTAAGATACCTTGTAATTATTTGAGTAGAAATCAGCTATTAACAAGCTCTGATGAGAGCTACTAATCCAACTGCTAATCCAGCAAAGGCCGAAGTGAGGGATAGTCAAAGTACAGATAGTCCTCGACTTACAACTATTCATTTAATGACCATTGGAAGTTACAATGGCACTGAAAAAAGTGAGTTTTGTCCCTTTTTCACATTTACAACAGTTGCAGCATCCTCATGACTATGTGATAAAAATTCAGATGCTTGGCAACTGGCATATATTTATCATAGTTATCCCAGGGTAATGTGATCACCTTTTGTGATCTTCTGACAAGCATAGTCAATGGGGAAGCCAGATTCACTTAACAACTGTGTGACAACAACTGCATTGATTCACTTAATAATTGTGGCAAGAAAGGTTGTAAAATGGGCAAAGTTCAATTAACTGTATAGGAGACAAAGGAAGAGAATAAGGATAGCCACTCCCTACATTCTCCCAGAGTATGTCTGTTAAGCTGAGAGTAGTAAAGGTTTAATCTGGCAAGATTCTGTTTATCTGATGTAAGCAAATAGAGAACTGAACATTTGCTTTGGTTTGAAGCTAGTATACTCAGGGAGTGTGATCTATAAACTATACTTTGATTACTTATTACAAAAATCTGTTCGTACTGCTCACGCACACAATTCTGACAGTTTAAAGCCGGCCCACCGGCCAGATGCATCATAGCAAAACCGTGCCCACCCCATTGCCAGTAATGGAAAAAAAGTTGCGATATGTCGCGACACATCACATGACATTGCAAGTTTGACACCCCTGGTTTAAAGGAACAACACATCTCAATCAGATTATCCCTCAGTTCTCCATTAAAGCCAACTTCTTACTTATTTAAAGACAAATATCTCTTCCCTTCATAAATCTAATCCCTACAGTGGTGGGATTCAGCTGGCTTGCACCACTTTGGCAGAACCGGTAGCTAATGTTTTGTTGCCCAGGTCCAGAATGGACTTCCAGAAGCGGCATCCACACAGAGAACTGGTTGTTCACATATCTGAATCCCACCACTGCCTACAAAATGAAGTCTAGTTGCACACTGGAATGCTTGTTGAAACAGGACCATTTTTATAGCATTTGAGAAAGCCAGGTGGATGGACAATATTGGGAGAAGACCATTCTAAGATGTTAAGATCATCTATAAGAAGTTTGCCATTTACCCTTTAATTTCTTACAGGGGGTTGCTTCTTAAGCATCACTTATCAGGATGGTCACACAGGATTGGCCGATTATAGTTGGAGAATACAGGCCTGAAGGTAGAAGCAGAAATAGCAATAGCAATAGCAAAACATAGACTTCTTTATTGGCCAAGTGTGATTGGACATACAAGGAATTTGTCTCCAGTGCATAAGCTCTAAGTGTACATATAAACAACAAAGTAGTAAGTCATAGATAATAAGTCATAAGATACAATCATAAATCATAAGATACGAACAAGTGGTAAATCATAAGATACCAATAGGTGAAGATATTAGGTAAGATGAGAAGATGAAAAGATGAGAAGGACAATAGCAATACAGCCCTTAAACAATACAATACAATAGCACTTAAACTTATATACCTGTAAACTGTAAACTTATATAAGTTTACAGCGCTCTCTAGGCCAGTGGTTCTCAACCTGTGGGTCGGGACCCCATTTGGGGTCAAACGACCATTTCACGGGGGTCGCCAAACAAGGCTGTCCGCCATTTTTTTCCCCTTTTCTTTGGCCACACCCCTGGCACCCGGTGATGTATAAGTGGTTGGGGGTCACCACAACATGGGGAACTATATTATGGGGTCGCGGCATCAAAAAGGTTGAGAACCACTGCTCTAGGCAGTATACAATGTCAGCATATTGTCCCCAACAATCTGGGTCCTCATTTTACCAATTTCAGAAAGATGGAAAGCTGAGTCAACCTTGAGCCCGTGAGAATCAAACTGCTGGCAGTTGGCAGAATTAGCCTGCAATACTGCATTCTAACCACTGCACCACCAGGACTCCATGTAAGGCTTAGTAACTTAACACTAGAATTTTGAATTGGACTTGGGTGCTTACTGGCAGCATATACCATCCTCTCTATTAAAGAAACATTCAGCAACTTCTGGATCTGGTGACACACACCCTTTTTTCCCACCTGAAGGACCCAATTGACACATAGCACCAGTCTATAGTTGGAAGAGTTCGTATCACAGAGAACTCTATCCCCCCCTTTCAAACTCTACAAAAGAAAAAAAAGAAAAAGCAATCACTAACTCAAAGGGCTGTGTGAGATGTTGCCTGACACTCTTAAGTGGCGTGCGACCTGAGCAAAACTAAGCAATTTCCTCAGCGAAGACTTCCATAAACCTGGCATCGTTGACTTAAGAATTGTTTCCCTATTCTGCTAGAACTATGTAGGTAACTTTCAACAAGGCCACTGTTTAAAAAGTTGCAATGGGCCTGCTAGATCACTCAATAGCTTCAGAGGATCCATCAGCATTTAATAGTTCTCTAACTCTGTAAAAGTGTGCCATAGTCCACATATTGACCAGAAAGTGATTTAACCATAGCAAAGATCTTGTCACAACATTTCCCATCTTCATATCTTGCCTCAACTGCTCTGAGGTAAAAATGAGGTCTAGCCAGAGACTGTATATACTGTATGCATCAGGCCCAAGATCACCCAGAAACCGATGGTTGCTATGGAGGCCATGAAACCTTGGTCAGTTTATCCTAAATGAACATAGCAACTAAGAAAACAGAAAACTCAACTTCTATTTCTTCCTTGTGTTTCCCCTTTTAGCCAGCATCAGTTCTGGGTTGTTTCCTTCCTCATTTCTCTAACTAGCTAATAAAGGTGAAATGGAGCAAACATGATATGATCTATGAATGAACTCAGTAGGATTTAATCTTGCGCAATTACAAACAGCACTGACTCGGCAAATGTACCTTCAGCAGTAGCATATAAACATGACTAGACAATAATCATTTTTCTCCTTGGTCTGAAAAACTTTGCTTGCTGATGTTGGTGCCAATGCAAGACAGAATGGTAGATCAGGTCAGGTTTTTTCAAACCAAGAAGAAAAATGATTCTTGTCTAGTCATGTTTACATACTGTGCTACTGCTGAAGATACATTTTCCTCTTTCTATTTCGTTGGCTTAAACCTACTAAGAAAATCAACTCTACCAATTAAAGACAAAAAATTCTGTGACAGATGCCTAAGTATTTAAGGGATTAGACCCCAAAATAATCATCCTTTTCAAAGTAAGCTGCTGTTAACTAAGTTGAATCTGGATTAGTATATATCACTAGACCCACATGTGGTCTGCTTCTCTTTGCTGCAGATTTTGCAGCCCTCATATGGTAGGCCACAAGATCGTGGGAATATCATGTTGTTACTCAAAGCATTGGTTTACACCAAATACTAAGTTCTGAGTCCCTGCTGAGATAGCTACGAATGCCATTGTGCAGATATATTGTGGGCACCTGCTATGTTACCTTTTTGAAAGGATTTTTAAATCTTTTATTAAAAATTGGGAAGCTAGCATCCCAAAAAACAATGCTCGGTCTTGAACATAATCTTCATTTCCAAGAATAATTCCAGGCTCTGGGGACAATCTTGAAAGTAAAAGTAATAGCAAGCTTTGGAGACATGACTATTACATTAATGAGTGTTTGGTGCTGATGGTGCCTACCATGGCATACCCAGAGCATGTGTTTAACATCCAAGTGGTTACAGCCACCTCAGAGTTCAAAGACCTTGTACTAAATCATTGTTCACTTTATTGGAATCTGGCTTAGCACATTGTGTGAAATTAGCTACTGTGGTTTCTAAAACATGGTTTATAATTTACCTGAGATGTGGACAAATTGTGACATATTCAACAAACCATGTCCAAACAAACCATGGCTGAAAATATGATGTCACCACATCAGATGAGACATAGTTTAAACAGGGCTTATTCAAACCAAGCATTACTATCTGGGCTGTATAACATGCTGTTACAGACCATGTTTTATACACTGGGTTCACATAACACTTTAAACCCAAACTAAACAAACTGCATTATAATTCAAACCAATGTATGAACCCAACCCCTATTGCTTTTATTATGAGTTGTTCAGTTGAGGGCATTATCTGGAGAGGTCAGACCTTCTCACATTCTTGCTTTGCTGACTGGTTATGAGAGAGCAAGCAATGTTCCCATTGGTCCTCTGTTCTGTCAATTGGAGGGCTTGATGAATAAATGAAACTGGAGCTGACTAATTTACCCTACAAGAGTTTCTGGGAAGAGCTGAAGATCATCTTGAAACTTCCTACTAAGAAAATGTAGGTCTTTTTCAAGTTTTTTTTTTTAATAATTGTATTTATGTTGTTAAGTATGTGCTCATGTATAATATTAGGGATGATATTGGCTATGTAAACATAGAATGCTAGTTCCACCTTCTCTTTTATCTCCAGAGTTTCTAAGAGTGAATTCATAGAACATTTATAAGCCATCATGTAGTCTGCTTGTTAGTGTATTGTGTGAATTCAGCCTG